AAGTGTTTAAATGTCATATCATTCTATCAGCAAAATAAGAAAAAGAGAATTAACTTTTGGTCGAAAACAAAAACGTTTAAAATCGAACCACTACAATCATTGTATAATTTTCTTTTCTCTCATGAAAACGGAATTGAACTATGATGCACGATAAATTTCGATAGAAAAGAAATCCGGCAACAGATAATATCAATGGGGTTGTGTTCATAATACCATTATATCAACTCCAATACGTACGTATGATTCATCATTATGAAAATCGATTTCGATAGCATGAGCATCGCCACAAGATACTCGAATAAATCGCTTAAGCGATATAATTATTACGAAAGTTGAAACGAACGTGTTCATCACGTGGAATTGTTGACGGAAAAGACGCTTCTTTCAAGTACCTGCAATAACCATTTTTTTAAACTCATTCGCATACACAGTTTGAGTAAGTTTTTCGATTCGCGAACGATAAAGAATTTAATTTATGTTTCTGCTATAGAAAATCAGCCTAAATCTACTACAAAAACTATTATCACCTTTTTTTCCCCGCCAAAAGAATGCGATAAAATGAAGTTTGACTAAATTACCGCTTCTCCATATAAGTGTGGTGTAAATATGAATGAGTTAGAATAAAAACCTCAATACACATAAAAATGGAACACAGCCTTTTTTAAAGCTGTTCAATCGCATTCAAAACAATGCTGTTTCTTTTTCAAAATGCTGTGTTCCACTTTTATAATAGATTTTAATTTCAAGTCGAGATTTTATTCTAAACCAATCATATAAATTATAGCCAAGCATTTTCAATCGAAAGCAATAAATTAGACTTAAAAAAACCCCGTAGAAAACTGTGTAGTTGTGACGCGTTATATTCGTTTCTATAGCTTGCCGGTTATGAAAGCGCAATTTCAATGCGTGAGTACCGAGTCTGATACAGACAGACCAAAACCGTTTCGATTAATTCCACGATGTTTTGACATAATTTCGTTGGTTCAAAACTGAATTCCACGTGTATTTGTAGTGAACAAGACCACTTCGGAAGGCAACAACAAACAAATAAAAATAACATATTTAAATCTGTATAAACAATAAGCCAAAAATTTGATGAAAAAAGAAAATTATTTTTCCATCTTGAATGCAGGCACATGCATATAAGTGGGGACGAATGTGTTCACATGAGAATAATTGCATAAAATTGCAAAACAAATTACATACACAAACACACTCTAATTTTATATAAGCCATATGAATAACATCCACAAGCTCTAAATATTAAGAATTAAATGTAGTTTTACAATTAGTGGTGTACATCATCCAGTCAAAGTATTAAGTGACATCCACTTTGTGAGTCAAATTTTGTATTTACTTGACGAACTAACTACTTTACTGCTAATTATATTTAAAATTAATTCGATAAGTGACGGAATTTCATAGAAATTCAACAAAGCAAACAGCTAAATAGACACTAAGCAAAAAAAAAAAAAACAAGAAAAAAATCTCGTGTTCTGTAAAAAATACCACACAGAAATGGGTTTAAGATTTCGTTTATCATATAAGAAGAAAAATCATTTTCTAATGCTCTTATCAATTTAATTTTGAGTTTTTTAATCGGCATTTGCATATTAAAATTAAAAAAAAATGAGAGAGAAAACAAATTTGTCAACATTATACTAATACACCGTTGAAATAAAAAGCGGACAAATCGGATACTAGATATATATTTATCAAACATAATTGCTAATTTTATTGCGCTCATATAAAAAAAGTAACATATTTTTCTTGGGAGATGATTTTTTTTGTCGTAACGATTCGAAACATAAAATTACTAAATTAAGAGATATGAAAAGCAAACTTGGAAATTTTTATACATTAACTTAAACATGAGGATAAAAAAAAACAACATATTTTTTGTAACTAAAAAAAATCACATTTTTGTATGGGCTTTTCATTGACGTATCTACGGTATAATATTTCAAAACCTTGAATTAAATGTAAACCATTCGACGAAAACATTCATACATACAATTCTGATCATACATATTTCGGTTCTCGGATATATATAAATTTAAACCAAACAAACCAACAAAAAATGGTTCTGTAGTTCGTCTGTTTTCATTTGTAAGGTCATTTAAAATAATACGTATTTCATAAGTGATTCGATGTTCTTTTTTACTTTTTTGCGAAACAAAATATATGTTATTTAGCATTTTTAAGCATTTTCATAATTAACAACAAAAATGTAGTCTTTTCTCTTTGTCAAAGTGGAGTAATTTTTCTCTTTTTGATTTTATTTTCTATTTAATTATTTTTTCTCATTTTCTCAATTCATATTCAGTCAGTTTCAAAGAGCAACATTTATTTTTTTATCAATATGCCCATTTTTCACTAGCTGTAATCATGCTTCAACACATTAATTAAAAACAAAACATGGACAAAACCAAAATACACAGTTTAAATCATAAGAGTAAAAGAAAATGCATGTAATTTGGATTCGGTGACCTTTAAGTACAAAATGATACACACAAAATACCCTAAAAAGTATAGATACATTGATGTTATATTGCAATAAGAATAAATTCTTCTTTCTACCATATTTCGGCATAGAACATATTGGAAATCGCTTTGCTATACTAATTAAATGAATACTCTAAAATAAAAAAGAAAACTCTAAACATAAGTTTGATTATACGAACGATTTATGCTTTCTTGATGATTCACATCCAAACAAGAGAAAATCAAACTGAACGAAGAAAAAAACAGTATGTATTCATAAATGTATTGAGCTATCATTCTAATGGGAATAGTGATGATGAATGGGAAGGAAATTTGACTATTTTTTTATTTAATCAACACAAAATTCAATGAAATACCACATGGAAAACGTAACAAATAAAATAAAACCAAATACATAACATTCTGTACAGACAGATCCAAATTTTAACAAAGGAGAGCAAATAGTCACATAGAAAATAAATACATAATTTTAGACATATATATAAAAAATATATTTAATCAATTCCTGGATATGGTCCAATGCTAAGCATATATCATATCCGAACCAACCAACAAAATACTTAAAAACTTAATTTTTTTCGCTATGTACATTTAATGCTATATATACAAAAAAAACAAGAGAAAGAAACCTGAAATAGTAGAAAATCCATTACCCAATTTTATACGCCGGATGCATTGCATGTCACACGTTGACTACGCTGATGATCTCGGCTCATTCTTGATTTTCCATCACATTCTATTGATCATTTATTTTTAAATCTATATGTGGTGTTTCATTTCTATATTTGATCTGTGTACCCTTTTCTTCTTCTTTTTGCCACAAATAAATATATATATATATATATCAAATCATGAATAAAACAACCATGGCATGAAATGTCATTCAATAAACCAAGTAATTACTATTTAAATAGATTAAGAGAAAACAGAAATGTTTATTCTATTCAAAACACAAAATTAAATTAACCTAACCAAACAAACATGAGACAAAATAAAAATGCATGCGAAAAAAATTGTGAAAGAATAACCACTCATAGACGCCATCAATCATCATCAGTTAAGATTAAAAGTGATTTGACGCTCAAAATAAGCAAAACAACATAAAGAGAAATAGATAAATAGTTTAGAAATGATGAAATCATTCAGGTCCAGCCTGACGATTCAGCTCACACAAATTAAGCGCTACCCGAGTACATGAATAACACATAAGCAGCTCTGAATATATAACCAGAGAGTGAGATAGAGAGAAAAAGAGAAAAAAACATTTCATTACTACAATTACACATTGGAAATAGAGTGGCCAATAGTTGCAATATATATTACATACTGGCTGATAGTTCATAACAAGGCCTACATTTTTTTCCCTGAAACAAAAAACCCAAATTCAAATAGCATCCGATTCATACCAAAAAAAAAGAGTAACAGCTACAAATTGTGAACTAATATTCGAGTAATAAACTACTCAAATTAGGAATGGTACGCAAACGAGAAAATATGTTCCAAAAACATAGAAGAAGATGCGGAAAAATTATAAAAAAAACCCACTCTTTTAAAATGAACTTTACCCAAAATAGTATATTGATGTGTATTTTTGTTGCTATCTATTTTTGACGTAAGAAAAACAAACATAGTCCAAAGCATTTCATAAGCAAAACAAACAAGAAAATAATAATTACATAGACTAGTTGAGAATTTAATGAAAAATGAAATACTCTGTAAATGTTTTTAAAACACACAACAAAAAGCCAATTTATAATCCATTTCATTCAAGAAAAATTGTTGTTGATAAATGAAAAAAATAATAATAATAATAATACACTTTTTTGTCGTTCATCATATTTTTTACTATTTATACTGTAAATTTCAATTCGATATATACTGTTTTTAAATGGAGTCGCTCATATGAATACTGAATCCTCCCCAAATAGGTTGATTGATATTTTCTCTACTTTCAAACCTGATTTGTTTTTGTTTAAACAATTTCGGTTCATTGCAAAAAATTTCGGTGATACAGTTTTCGTTTTGGATTGATTGGCACGAGCTATGAATAAGTTATCGTTGATACTATCATTTTTTCTAATATTTATTTTTCAATTTGATTTATTTTTTATTTTATGTCAAATTCCAAGCTACTAAGAAAAGAAAAACGTAAAAAAAACAATTCTTTCCAAATGATAAATGTTTACGAAATCAAATTTAAGAAATTCCTATCTAAATGTAATTTTTAAATTTTAAGCAAAAAAAAAATGGAAAACAAAAGGAATCAATACACACATATATATTGAGGACCTTCTCTTTTGAATGAATGTAAAGAAAAATGATACCAAAAAAATTACAGAAATTGCTAATATAACAAAAAAAAGTCTCTAATTTTTTAAATTGTTGTACAAAAAACAGAGGAAGAACAAAGACATTAATAATTGAGACAAATTTTTAAGTTTGTAATAAAATGTTTTGTGCATTCAGAAATAAATAAAACAAAAAAAACACTGTGCTCTTTTTTTAAATTGCATTTATTTAGATAATTGATTAAAAGCCATCCGGAAATTAAAACTGTATGTATGTAATAAAAATGTCGGTGTATTTTTCATTGCGTTTGCTATGGATATATTTATTTGCCACCCCAGCCAAGGAAGCCTTTGACAAAACCAGATATACCTTGTTGTTGTTGCTGCTTCTTGGCCGGCGAATCGATTTTATCGTCTAGCGATGGCATTTCCACAAAGTTCAATGCCAAATCGAAGAACAGAGGCTTGCATGGGATTGGTTCAATGTCTGGCATTGACTTGAAAACATTTGGATTTTTCGAATTCAATTGTTGATCTTCAACGTAATGCGACAATCGTTCGAATAGTGGTTTTGATTTTAATGATTTTTGCTTGCGACCGCTTCCATCAAGGTATAGCAAACCATCATTTGATGCAGCCGTATTGCCGTCATCGGCTAATACACTGTAGGCGTGAGCCGAAAATTTACAACTTTCAATATCCTTAAGCAAGGCATTTAGATCTTGTTTCAAATTGAATTGAGCTGGTGGATTTTTCAATGCTTCGTTCGCATAATTCTTGGAACCTGAAACAAAAAAGAAATATATGTAAAAAAAGAAATTTGAACCGGAAAAAAAGAATAAATAAAGGATCTTACGTTCATAAAGTGCAACGGCTTCTTTCCAGCGGAACAACGAAACCAATGTCATTGCAATGTAATAGCATCGGAACGCCTTAAATGCAATCGATAAGTTTTGTATTTCGGTTTGATAGGCTTTGTCATTTTCGCAGCCAGCAATTTGTTGTAATTCAGTAATATTTTGTGCGACAATTTCGTATAGCCGTGTCAAATTCTGTGGGCGTGCACCCTTTTTCGTTGCATCATTCCCATCGGCCACCGTATTTTCCAATGATAGATTCTGTTTTGTCTGCGCAACCAAATATAAATTACGCTCCAACGTACGAATCAAGCGAATGTAGTTCAAATATGCGAGTAAAAGTTGAACATTACTCGAAACGGCCGGTGCATTATTGCCAGAGTCAGCACCTTTGCGAGTCGAATCTGATTTCAAGAAATCATCTTTTGTTGCTTGAATACTATCCTTGCAATCGATTAGAACCGTTTCAATGATATCGATTTTATTCTGTAGGGTCTTGGCCTGTTCAACACTCTTATCCAAATCTTGCAAACTCAATAAAAACAAGCGCACTTTTTCCGGCAAACGAATTTGAATTTTGTGCTGTCGCCATTCAATCGTTTCGAGTTTGGCACCTTCGATTTGTGCAGTTTTAAATGATTCCAAATCGATGAGCGAACTGGCACCTTGAGCACGACGAATTTCCAAAACTTCATCGATTGTTGCAGCCGAATCGGACTTGCTGCCCAAATTGTATGCACAATAGCGAAGATTTGGTTTCAACTCTTCAATTTTTGCCTTGTACAATTCACATACTTCTTCATCGCCGGTCGTGGCTTGAATGACTTTCACCAAATTCTCGTAGATGATTTGTGATTTTTTGAAATTTTCCGCCGCCGATTGCCATAGTCCCAATTCAAAATGAAGATTTCCATGCATACAATCAACGTACGCTTCGACCTCCAATTTCGTTTTGTCATCCAATCGCTGACTTTGTGAGCACAATTCTTTCAATTGCAATGCATAGTTGCAGGCACGTCGCAATTTATTCACCAAATGGAATCGTTTACGTTGCTCCGTATTGGCCTCTTGTCGCAATTGCATCGCATAAGACCATGCACGTTCGGCCAACATCAATGGAAGATAGAGAAAACGCTCATCACCACTTGGTCCAGAAATAGCCGCTTTACCACTGGCACCATCCAAATGGGCCACGGTAACATCACGCTTTTTATAATGACGCTTATCACCTTGTGGTATTTTCAATGCTTTTCGCAAGCGACTTATGCGACGTGTGCAATAACCTATTTGTATGCAGAAAAAAAAGTGAAAGTGGTTACTAAAAACAATTCATTACATTTAGAAATGTGCGAGGAATTTACACCAAAAGAACACAATAACACAAAAAACAATGAATTTTAATGGCACAAATAGCATATACACTCAATTTCAATGACAATTTAATTAATGTAATTTACATACCACGATACCGTTGATAGTCACCATGCCGAAGTCCATGTTGTTTTTGTGCATCACGAATCAAACGCAAGATTTCAATTGAAAACAATGGTTTTGGTTCAGTTTCAGCCGGTACGTTTTCACTTGTCTCTACACTGGTATCTTCGACCATTTTTAAAACAATCTCGCCAAAAATTTAATCGAAAAAATGAAATAGTTTCACACAAAGTGAATGTGTGTTAACGCAAGATTTTTCTTTTCTTTATGAAACGTCATCAATAGTGAAACATGTCTGACAGTACATTGAAAACTCAATGTATGAAGTGAACTGTCATTCGCTTAAATTAGGGCACGTTCAAAGCACCAATGTCACATTCAAATGATGAACGCAGCTCTGTTAAACTGATTTATTAAGAAATAATTTTTTATTTTATTTTTTTGTAAAAATGTATCAGTTTTTATTTTCAAAGAAATACATAGTTTTTTTAAATTCAAAACATATTGGCGAGCATGTATAGAAAAAATATATACATAAAAAAATATTGGTTTTGAAATTAAATAAGTGTTGCCACAATATAGAGTGTCTGGTACATAGAGCAATGTGCGGTGTGATATTGTCTATATCAATAGTTGAGTGATAGATATCATAAACTAATTCTTTTTCAAAATAAAACACCATCACATTAATTTTTGTTTAAATTTCAAAACACTTTATTTGAATTCAATATACACATATTATTTGATTAAATCTACCTTTTTTTATGTTTCTATCACCTATGCCGCTAAAATATTTTCTCACTCTTAAATGCTAAGTTTTAAAAATTAATGACGAGCTGCTGAAATACCTTGCAAAAAAAGTTTCATTTCTTTTCTCGAATAGGCCGAGATTCAATAATTTTCGTTATTTTGGTTGTCAACAACAACACTGGCACCGAAATTAAATTGAATTTGTTTCATGCGAACGAACAAGTAAATGAACGACACATTGTGAATGAAATAATAACAGCATGTAATCAAAAAGGATAAAAAATTCGAATTAAAAAATCGTTTTGTAAAATATTGCAATACTTCATCATACAAAATGGACTTAGGCTAAAAAATCGTGTCGAAAGCAATATTCGAAATTTAAAATTGGTTTTTAAGGCTGTGTGTATGTTCATTTTGTGTGTGTATGTGTGTAAAATTCGAATAAAAAAATCATAAAATCAGAAAAAACCACATATTCAATGATTTCCGATGTTGCGTTTTCACATTTTTTTTTTGCTTTTTTTCATTTTCGAGTATATTAATCTATATCAAGTATTATGAATGGAAATGACTGAACAGTAACGGTTTTGAGTATTTTATGAGTGGTTAATTTGATGTTGTTGTTGTTGTTTTGTTTTCCTGTTTTGATTGAACATTGTCGATAAAATGTTGATGTCATTTGCGAGGGGATGAAGTCTAAACATTGCTGCTAGAGCTTTGTATTATGGTTGGTGAACGCAAACTGGATCTATAAAAAGCGAATTGATTCTTTTTAGTTCATAAATAATAATTCTGAATTCATGACCAATGATATTTATGGTATGTGTAGGGGATCAAGTGCAAGGTTAAACAAGGAAATACCTGCTGTTAAAATGACCACCATACTCATGAATAGGGCGATAATGTGAGTGTGTATATGGATTATCTGATGTTGAATTTGTGGTGCCGAACCGTTTTGTAAGTATCGATGTGGGTGCTATGGATCCAGTGTCCAACATTGTGATCGAACGATCATATGCTTTTGGCTTGCTTCGTCCGAGCGTTGCATAACAACTGGTACTCAAATGATCTTTTGGCGAGCTTAAGTAACCATTCGTGCTATTTGCAGCCACAATTGACGGAGCCAAATAGGATGTAGACATTCGACGTTTTGGATTATAAGTACCTGGAATTTAGAAGAAAAGAATGTGGTCGTTTGGATATGAACATGAATTTTGTACACTGAATATTAACATTTTTACATAAGTGAAAAGTCTGATTAATCGAACACAATTACAAAAACATAAACAAAATAAGGAAAATAAAGAAAAGAAAAAAAGCAACAATTTAGAAAAATGAACAGCGTTAAAATTTGAAAAGAAAAAAAACCAATTGAATCGAAATGGTAGAATTGTCAAAAACTAACCATAGACAATGGGTGTTGTCAAACTGTCGTAGGTTGAATTTCGCATTGAATATGAGCGATTTCCGTTGTGTTGATAGTCGCTTGTTGGTAATGATGTGGTGGCTCCGATTGGATTGGAATAGTATTTTGAAACCGATATTGAAGCCGGCGGTGATGTCAATGTCGATCTTAAATTAAGATATTCGCTCGATTTATTTTTGGGTAAATCATTTGGTTCGAATGGACTTTTAACGGATCGTGAGGGAGTTTGACTACGTTGATGGTGGAAATGGTAATGGTATGGTTGCTGTTTAAATTTCTCACTTTCATCGGCAGTTGAATAACAACTTGGTGTATTTGCACGTGATATCGAAGTCGGTACATTCATTGGTGTGGGCGATTTGCTGCCGCCACGGCTAAAACTGCCATCACTCTCTGTTTGATATCCATTCGGTGTCAATGGCAGATAATCAGATGCTCTCGACTTGGATTTAGCGGCCATATCACGGTAGTATTCCCGTTGTGCACTTGGTCCAACAATTGAACTCGTTCGTTTTGGTTTCTTTTCGTTGAAACGGCAATAATAGCTTCGACGTTTTATTCGGTCAATCACGCTTTCCGAGTCAGATGGTGTAGACGGAGCTGGATCAGTAGATGTTGATGGCATTTGATTGTGATTTTGCTCTGACTGATTTCGCATTGATGCGTATTTCAAATGCTTTGGATGCAACGGCATATGATCGTCAGTTGAACCTGTTGGAGCAAAATTTAATATTAAAAAGAAAGGTTTAAAGGAAAAAAACAGACGAAAAATGCATACCAGAACAAGCTGACCAATCATCGAAACAAAGTTCCGGCTCATCGGTTGGTGACAAAAATGTTGACGTTGATTCACAGTCATCTCGCACACTTCGTGCGTCCGACGAGTAGCTCGTGTTTAGCTCACAGGTTGGTGTGAATGGTTCATGGTTTCGATCGGAATGTGGATAAAATTGTGGATAATAATTACCATTGCCAGCAAAATTGTTATTAACATGATTTTCATTCGATCCATTGCACTGATCGCCAAATGATTTTGAACTATTGAAGTGATATGAGTTGTTGTTGTTATTGCTTGAATCATTCGATATTTTCTTAAAATGATCGTTGTATTGTTCGTTACTCAAGTCCAACACCAGACCCTTTCTATTGTTTCGAATGCGTTCCTTTTCACTTAACGAACTATTTGTCACATCAACAATTGGAATCTGCGGTTTGATCGCTTCATTGACATGTTTAATATCCCTTACTTTCTCATCGATGCTATTATTCGAAGTGCTCTTCTCTTTAGTACCATTTGCCACAAATTCAAAACTGTTCGATTGAATTGGTTGTGAATCCGTTTTTGAAATGCTTGATGCTCGTAAATATGGAATTTTCGTACTCGATGCTGTCGAATTCTCAGCCTTCAACTGATTCGCTCGTTCGCACAAATATTGACGTTCAAATTGATCAGTTAGTGTAATAATCGTATCACTTTTGGCACCTGTATAATATGGTCGACTTTTCTTCATTTTGCCCACAAAACCACCGGATTTGGGCCGTTCCTTTGACGATGATTCACCATTTGCGGCCAAATGCTGCTGCTTTTGCAATTGATGCTCTTTTTCAATACGTCTAAACAGTCCAAGTACTTTGTTTACATTGCCCTGTTTATTGAAGTTGACAGCACCGTTTGTCATGTCTTCAACGCTAACCGCTCGCTTTAGTAGAGCTGATTCCGTTGCCAAATCTGTACGATTTTCACTTCGAACCGTGTGCGGAACAGAACGTTCGCGTAAATTACGAATAACAGCATCAATGCGAGATTTACGTTGTTCACCTTTTCCAATTGAGTTCGCGCTTATCGACGACGGTAAATCAATTTGACGAATTGTGATTTCTTCTTTTTGAATGATTTCACCTTGGCCATCTTTTACACGTCGCGGTATTATTATGGTTTGCACGGTTTCAACATCTTTTGGAAATTCTTTTTCACAATGCATCGGCAATTTTATGTCGATTTCACTTGCAGCCGCTATTGGTGCATCAATTGTTTTGGCAATTTTCTTTTCTTTCTCTTTGTTTTTGCTATTTTCGCGCATTTTCTCAAACTTTTGACCAATCGTATACAGAAATCCGGATTTTAATTTCTTTTCCGGTGATTTTCTCTCTTTGACTGGCGATGTTTCGTTGGAAGTTTCATTTGATTTGGGACTAGTTTCTTTTGTTGGCGATTGTTCCGGTTTCACCAATTTTTTCACAACCTTAATTTTCTTTTTCGTTTTTGGCGGCGATGTTTCGCCCGATTCACTCTTGACTTTAGTGGCCGATATTGTTTTACCCGGTGACAAGCGTTCTGCACTCTTTTCCATAAATTTTTCCATGACGGCGGTTATGGCATTTCGACTGGTCGATGTTGCACTGGAATTTGTGGACTTTTTTATTTTCAAGCTTACCTCCTTCGGTGGTGTTAGCTTGGAATTCGGATAGGTTTTTGTTTCTTTTGCATCATTTGACTTTGGTACATTCACATTTATTTCTGGTGCTTCACATTTTTTCTCCATAATTTCACTCTTTCGATCGTTGACTTTATCACTGACACCATCGTCTTTATTTGGAAACGACATACGTCGCGCAATTTTCGATGATTTTGGTAATGGCAGTGTAACCGATTGAACATCATTCGATTGTTCATTATTCTGTGTCACTTTTGACTCTTGCTCACCGGTTTCGGCGGTTTTGGGTTTGGTTTTCATTTTTTTGCCATCTTTTGACTTGATTTTAATTTTCTTAACTGTTCCACTTTCATCTTTTTTCTCCGTTTTCTGTGGCAAATCACCATTTTCAGTGTAGTCCTTTGATCGTCGAACCAATTCACTGAGAATGTCATCGGTGAATTCGGCCGCCGTTTGCTTGGATCTAGCCTCATTCGCCGAGTTCGGAGGTCGAGCCGCATTTGTCATACTTGCTCGACGAATGTGGCCGCTCTCTTTGCCATCAATTTTTTCCGCGTCATCAATGTCACAGCAACGTTCCATGCTCTTATTTCGAGCATGATAAATGCGACCATTTTGTTTATCAACGGTGATTCGAATATTTGGTATACTACTCTTTCTGCGATGATCTTTGTGCGTTGAACATGCATCGCCACTTGGTAAACTCTCTCCTTCGCGTGGTTTCGTTTCATTTTTACTTGGAGTTGTTTTGGATCTATCTCGACTGCGTTCACGTATTTCACGTAACACACTTTGAGTTTCACGCTCTTTTTCACCTCGCACTTTGAGCAATGCATTGCCATCGTCGCCCGCATTAATGCTTGACGAACTGCCATAAAAGTCGGGACGTGATGAAAATCGTGAGAATCCTCGTGATGAATGCCGTCTTCGGAATGGTGAATCGAGTGTTTCATTTGATGGTGATTTTTGCGGTGAAGACGATGTTGGCAATGGAAGTTTTGAATAATATTCGGGTCTCAAAGCGGACGTTCCCAATCCCGATGTGTAATCAGTTAGGCGATATCGATTGTTGGCCACAGAATCATTTGGCTTGTAGTCGGCACGTAAGTCACCGGCATATGACATGCGACTTGGATATTCATTCCGAAGAGCACTGGTGCTGCGTCTGTGTACAGTTGGATCTCGTCCACGTGACATGCTTCGTCGCAGCACAGAGTTTCGATCAAACGACAACAATGACGATTCGTTTCCAGTTGCATTTGGATCCATCCCATTGAATTTTGGATCGTTTGCACCGAATTTCAAATCATCAATTTGATGTTCCGGAATTGGTGTCTTTGATGCGGTTGATTCGGTATTTTCGATGCCACCATCTCGTCCACTGCTTAAACTACGTTTGTAAATATTTGGTGTGCGTGTCGATGCTTGCATCGATAGCGTTCGGGAGAGTTTTCGTGCCTGATTCGGTGGCAATTGAGCGAGTAATTGATCTTGAAAGTGTTTCGGTAGACTTGGTGTGATTGACGACAATGTTTCTAAATCTTTTTTGGTGAGTCGTAATTGTGATAAATCGAGATCGGCTAAATCTAATGTTTCATTATTTGGTTGCTTCAAATTATTGTCGTTTTGATTGGTTGGATTTTCGGATGTGGTTGTGGGGGTGGTGGTGCTGTTGGTACTGTTGTTGCTGTATTCATTCGATTGTAAGTTTGAACTTTTTTCGCCACTTGACCTAAATTTTGCGCCTGCAATAGAAAACAAACAAAAAAAAGAAGAAAAAAACAAAAGAAAATTTATTTATTTCAATATGTTACCGAAATAATTGTATTTTTTTATTATTGTTCTTTTTTCGATGATAGATTGTAATTTAAATGAGTTTCATTCCATTTCTCTCGCACAGTAATGTTCAAGCAAAATATACCGCAAACATCGAAATGGCTTAACTTACCATCTGGTTGGCATCAATAAAATGGATACACATCAATTGGAATTAGAAAGAAAGAAAAACGATTGCAAACACAAAAATTGAGTGTGACTAAAATTTGCACAACATTCATATTATTGGGTAACATCTAAACATAAAACATTTTCATTAAGACACAGTCCGATTAAGGCAAGGCTCAAACATTAATCTAATACGAGAAGTTGTTGTGTGAATAACGGCTATAGAACAGAATGTAAATCAACAAAAACAAAAACAAAAATTGTAAACAAAAACAAATAACAAAAATCGACTCACGTGCTGTTTTTTGCTCGCAATAAAGGTAACTTGACAATCGATAGTAGCACATACTCTGGTAGCTGATTTATGATTTTGGTTATGGTTTTTTTTATTTGATTTGATTTTGGTTTTAGTAAAATAGTAAATTGGTTTTAGATTATGACACACTTGGCTCCGCAAGGCGATTATTAATTCGGATGATACTGGATCGAATATTACGCGCAGCGAAAATTGAGATTTTCTCTCTCTCTTTCTCTCTCTCTCTCCCACACATTTCATTCGGTTGCAATTCAATCGAAACAGAAAATGTTCTGATTGTTTTTGGCGGTTATTATTTCTGTTGATCGGGTTGTTGCTGTGGCTGTGTATCGACAGAGGGACTGCTAGAATTTTGAGCATGCGTTATTGGTATGCGCAATCCCCCTGCAAGCATGAATAAATAACGGGAAAGAAAAATCATGTCAAAAACAAAAAAGTACAAAAAACAACGAAAAAAAAAATACAAATGAAATGAGTAGTATATGATTATTATGATTTGAGGGGAGTAGTATTTGCAAAAAGAGCGACTTAAACAATTTTCTACCGCTAAAATTTTTCATTCCAGTTTGATCATTCATCATCGGTATTTACGAAAATTGTCTTTGTTTTCTAATCTAAAAGGGTATTTTGGTTATTAATATGAAAACGAAACGAAAAAATGCGCACAGTTTTAAAATCCAGCGCAAAATTAGGATTATTTATAGAATTATACAATTGTTATTGCGCAAAACGAAAAACTCAATAAAATGTATGAACAATTATTTTGAACATGAACTGGAAGTAAAACACTAAATATTGGTTGTTGTTTTTTTTCCTTTATAAAAATGCAATCTTAAAGAAACACTATGCGTTCAACTACAAAAACAAATTGATGTTTAATTAGAAAAGCTAAATAGAAAACAATTGGTAAATATACACACACAAAATAGATTAGATTAAACTCTTCTTATTTTGCAATTGGAAATCACTGCGCTCAATCGTTTCTGTCTTTCTGTGTTAGTGTGAAATCGATTTTTTACAAATTTGGCATCGTTTGCATTTTGGCTTCGTTTAGCTACTCAGATTACATGTGTTTGTATGTGTTTGTGTGTTTTTTTGTTTCGAAAAATGAATGAAGGGATATTCACCTTTGGGCAATGTGGCTCCGGTTCGAGGCGAGAACACAGAATTCATTGAATCAATGTCTGTACCAAGGTCACGAGTCATGCTGTGACGCCATGCACCCGAACTGTTCAAACGACTGCAAATTATATTGGCCAAAAGAAAAAGAGAAGAAAATAATAAGAAGAAAAAACAAAAAATATTACAAAAATGTTAGCACCATTTCATTTGTTTTTCTTATCTGGTTTTTTTTCCTTATAAAACAAAAGACATTTTTTTATTCTGGTTCAAAATATTCTCTAAACTTAAAAAATACTGCGAAAATTCCTAACCGAAAAAGAAAATTGAGAAAAAGAAAGAAAGAAAGAAAGAGAGATGTGTGTACAAGATCGGAAGAGATCGCGATGAGAAGATTCAGAAATTCGAAAAAGTGGTCGTATCAAGTGTCATCCATAAATCACTTGCGTGTGTAATGTTTAAATATAAATCTGCAGTCGTAGATCGAAAATCGAAAACGTTTGGCCAAAGAGGAGAATCAATGCCAAACAAAACAAAGTAAATCGTTAGAAACGAAATCTTTGTCTTTGTTTTTTCTATCATCTGTTAAGAAGTTGTTGTTCAAACAAAAACCAAACGTTTTGAGTGAAAAATTGCACTCACCGCAGAGTTATTCAGGTTATGGTCATTTAATGTCATATTTGAGGTGCAAAACAATTTAGTTAGAAGCGCTTTTTTGTGCACGGTTAAGCAATAATATAATAATCGACTTAGAGGTGTTTATGCGAAGCCGAGCGACATTTATTTTTCTCCTTTTTTTTCTTCTCATTTGTTTTTTGAAATGCAAACGCAATAGAATCAAACACAAAAATCAACACTCGAAAAGCGACAGCTCAACAAACAGCTATTTGTTTGGCATACAAACAACAAAAATGAGAATGTGATAATGAGGTGAAAAATCTTTAATGGACTAGCGCCAATTTAAACAATTCAAATGCGAATGATAGAATAAAAAATGTACATTATTTGATTGCAACCACAACAAATGAACAGAAAAAAGAAATCGCTTCACACCGCAATGTACACGAACATCGAATAAAATGAAAATAATTACAACACGGACCACGGTTAGTAATACAATTATAAAAAGGCACTTGATTGAGTGAGTTCTGGTTTAAAAAAACATCAGCGTAGGCAAATTAAGTTATAAAAAAAAGCATTTTTGCACACCGGCCATAAAATGCCCGATCTCCGTCGTTTTGACGTCGTCGTCGACGTTGGCGAATGAAAGAATAAAAGAAATCAAACGACAACATAATTTGTCATCGACATGGCCCCCGTATTAAAGTGAATTCAAATGATTATTATTAGTGAGGGTTAAAAACGGTAAAATTGAATTTGAAAAAAAAAAAAATAGCAAAAATTTAAGATATTTTAATTGACTTACATTTCCCTTTTTGTTGTTACGACTGATTCGCTATAGTAAGTATATTGCTTGCTGATTTTTTTTATTATTTTGAATGTGTATTTGTGTGTGTGTGTTTTATAAAAACGGGGGGTTAATTTGATTGATTTGCGGAAAAAGAAAGAACAAATATTACGTTATTATGGTTAATGCGGTTAGCTTTTGATTGGTTTTTTTTATGTTTTGGGAGGGGCGAATAAAAATAAAATATGTCTTGATTAAACGGTCCATTAGTTAGTCAAATGACCACAAAATTAGTGGAGATATGTGCGCGTAGAAGTCATTCCATCGATAGAAAAAAGCGCATAATTTCAACATTTTAAAAATTTGTTTTCTCTTAAATCAGAAGCTCTTGAATCGAACGAAAATGACTTCAAGCCGAATAAATATAAAGCTGCAGCCACAACCGGCAAGTAATTAAAAAAGAAAACGAACAAAAAACATTACGTTAATTTGATTGGCACAAACGGTTTTTACCTAGTAAAGGGGTCATGTTGCCAGAATGGGCTGTTTTGACGAAAATTCGTTGGAAAATTATTGAGAAAACGTGCTGATGGAAAATCACTGGTCGGGTCATCTTTTACATTGAGGCGATTGGTTAGTGCACGAACCTGTTGAAGTAAAACCAAGGCAACATATTCAAACACCGTTTTTTTTTTATATTTCGCTTTCCAAAGGGTCAATCGACTTACCCGTGACAAAAGAGTTGAGAAAAGGTTTTCAGCCGTTAAAATTTCAAAACCATCATCATCGTCTTCTTCGCCAGAGCTTCCTGAGTCATTTCCTTCAGATTGTAGCTTTTTAAATGGTCGAGTACTGCGCAAACGATATGTGAATCCGGTTGTGGGTTGACTTGTTTCGGTATCACTGTCTCGTCCGATTGACGTATGCCGTTGCATACGATGGAACGGTGAATTGATCGATTCATCTTCTGAATCATTAAACAGAGAACTAATTTTGCGCGGTCGACCACTGAAACGACTAAATGCGGTGCTTGTACTATGATTCGATTCGGATGGCTCAAGGCTACCGGCTCGTGGTGTTACAAAACCGCCACCTTCAACTGCAATCGGAATTATGAATTCGCGTGGACTCTTTTTAATCGGTTGTGATGAGTTCGATGTTTGTAACGACGGTTGAGTGCCAATTGTTGCGGTAGACGCTGTTTGTGTGTCCGATATATCAGAATCATTGGTTGATTGACGCGACAATACTGATCGTTGACTAGATGACGTATTGGCTACATATCCCACTCGTTGAATTGGGATGTAATGCTCTTTCGGCTTGTGTTGCTGTTGTGATTGTGCATCAGTGATACCGCCACGAGCTCCAGATGTCGCAAATACTGGATTATATGTCGGATGATACTGTTGTTGTTGCTCTACATCAGGTCTGAAATTAATTAACAAATTCAATCAGTTTTTTGTATCTTTTTTGGGAAGGATTAGGCGGAATTGAAAACTTTACCTTCCGATCTTGCGACGTGGTAAAGTGGCCGACTTCAATGTAACATCAGAAGTTTTTGGTTGTTCTTCTCCAATGACGCCTTGTTCACCTGCTGCCGCCGCCGCCGCTGTTCGGATCAAACAAACAAAAAACATGAGTTTTTAGTGTGGATTTCTACGAAAAAATGCACGAATTGTTAAAACTTACGTCTCGAATTGTAAATGCTAAGCGGTGATTCGCGCTCATGCAATCTTGGATCGGGCGGCGTTGCAACGTTACGAGTTGGTACAACGCTTCCAGAAATAGAACGTCCATTCGCGCCGAATGGCACTGGAGGTTTGCGTACACCTATTGAAACAATTTAATGGAATTTAGGTTAACAATGAAAATGGCCAATGCGTTTATAAAACTTGCCCATGCCACTAAATCGTGGAATAGCATTCCCTATGATTTCACGAGCAGTTTTCAATTTTCTTTGTCTCTCACCCTCGTCTTGTTTGCTGGATACAGCAACATTTTCCGTTTTGGCACATAGCTGATCCACTTCGTTGCTGGACTCCATGCGCGCCTGATTGAGCAATGCTATCGAATTTTCCATTGAACGTCGTGCCTCTTCAAGCGATAAATTTGAAGTTTTCGAATCACTCTTTGTCAAATCAACATCTGGTGCACTCGAATTCGCCGAAGCCATTTCGCTCTTGACTTTGCTAATTTCAAGCGTTTTATCGCTGCTTTGTTGTGGTAAATTTGTTGCCGGTTTTGATTGTTTCTCAGCCACTGGTGTTGATGTTGTTGTCGGTTTTGGTGCTGATGTTTTACGTTCAACATCTTTTTTAACAATGACTTTTTTCGGTTTTTCCGTTGGTGCAGCGGCTGCTGCTTCGAAACGTTCGGCTACTTCCATTATGCGAGATTTTCTTCGTTCGGTGCTTGGTTTTGGTTCATCGGCCAATTTTTGTTCAGCTGGTGGTGCAGCACGAGATACTTCACTTAAGTCCGTTGTTTTTGTCTTTGGGAACGTTTTCGGTGCCTTTGGTTCGCTGGTTTGCGTTTTTTGCAATGCATTCGGTGGCACTTCTTCAATAATTGTATCGGAACTAGTCTTGCTTTTATTTTTCACTGACTTTTCGTCTTTTTTCAATTCGTCATCGACGACATCGGCCAATGTAGATGACGACAATTCAGCAACATTCTTTTCCATTTGCTCCTCATTTTGTGTACTTTCATCAACGTCCATTATTTCGCTAATCGACAATTTCGATTGTGTACCTTTTATTTGTTCGGTTGGTTTATCACGTTTTCGAGCTCCGGCAACTCCGGTCATTGACTCGGTTGAAATGGTATTTTCTGGTTTTCGTTTGACTTGTGGCACCATGCTGGGCGATGGAGTGATTGTTCGCGTTGGTGATGGAGCCAAAGCTGCCTCACCGCCAGCAGCAACCATTTCGATGATGCGTTGCTCTGCTTCTGAATTGGCAATATCACCAATATCACGAATCGAACCCACTGACATGCTTCGGGTGACATTTTGTTTGTTCTCGACTTCATGCGGATTCGGAACAACCAACTGTTCACAGGTAACAGCCGACGGTGTTAATGATAGCAGTACATCTAATCGAACCGGAGTTTGATTCGCCAATTCTTCAGCTAAATTCAAACAGCATTCGGTATAACTTTCATTCACCCACCTGAAAAACGATAATTGAATATAAAAATGATTGATGAATCGAAGATCAATGAAAATTGAAGAAAAGAAAAGGGATCTTATTGAACAAGAAAATTTGTAATAAAAACTTTGGTTGATATTTACCAATGGTTGCAAATTTGTTCGATGGTTGCTCGACGTTTTGGGCAAACGGTGAGCATTTCTCGAATGAGCGGAGATGCATTTGATGGTTTTTTTGGTTCATAATAATCACCAGCACTAATTTGTTTAACCAAACGCTTAAAATTCGATCCATCAAATGGCATCGCACCATAAACTAGCGTATACAATAAAACGCCCAGCGACCAACAATCGACTTCTGGCCCTTGATATGGCGTTCCTTTCACAATTTCTGCAATCGAAAAACAAAGAAGACTCATTCATTATTGAAGAAATTGAAAAAATGTGAAGAAAAACGAAATTGAATTGAGTTTACAAATGATGTACGTACCCGGTGATGCATACAGTGGTGAACCACAAAATGTGGCCAACAGTCGTTTTTCTTCAAACACATTTGACAAACCAAAATCGGCAATCTATCTCAATAAAATATGAATGCATGTGTTAGTATTATCAAATATGTATGACAAATGTCTCTTGTGGGTTATGTCTCATTTTCTTCAAAATAAAATGATATCGGAAAGACATAATTTTTCTTTTCAAAGCAAAAGAAGACGGCCGCACAGACATGAATAAAAATGAAAAGTGCTTTTTTTCTAGTTTCTGTTGATCAAATAAAGAATTTCACTCACTTTGGCATTGCCATGTTCGTCGAGCAGAATATTTTCTAATTTTAAATCTCGGTGGCAGATCTTATGTTTGTGGCAATAATACACAGCTGTGGCAATTTGTCGAAAAATTCGTCGTGCTTCTTCTTCCGTTAATACTTTTCGTTCGGATAAGTAATCGTAAAGTTCACCGCCGGCAGCAAATTCCATTACTAGCACCATTTTCTCGCGATTCTCAAACACTGCAGAAGGAGAAAGCGGGAGAGAGCGAAAAAAGAAAACCGACAATGAATCGCTCGTACAAACTAAAGTACCATTGAAAAATGTCAAATGAAGAGTACCTTCATAAATATGAATAATATTTGGATGTTGAACGGAACTCATAATTTGAACTTCTCGTCGAATGCGCACCAAATCGGCTTCCGTTTCGATTTTGCATTTTTTTATCGTTTTAATTGCAACATCTTGACTCGTTTCTTTGTTTATTCCTAATTGCACTTTACCGTAAGTACCTTGACCCAACTTTTTAATTATATCAAACCTGTGGCGAGTAAAACAAACAAAACCGAGTTTTGGTTAGTTAAATGGATTTCGTTTATGAAAAACGTTAATTGAGACAGATTGATTTGATGGGTAATTGGATATTTAATGTGAGTGAGGTCAGTTACCTTTGTCGCAATTTTTTTCGATGGTTATTCATTTTGACTGACCCAGTATTGCTAATGCCGCTCATAATATTATCAATGGATGCTGGCGGCATTTGTGTTACAGCACCAGGCTGTGTGCTTTCGTCTTTCTCTCCAATCACCATTTTTAAAATATTATTGATCACCTAATTAACTAGTATACTGTTTTAAAATTTATTGTCCTTTTTTATCCTCCGCTCCAGTCTGATGGACTTCTGTGAAGAAAAAAAAGCAAAATTCATTTCAATCAACTGAATGTGGTATGATTTTTGTCAAATTTATTGGTATTCGACTGAGTGTCATATCATGATAAATTACAGCAAATTGTCAATAAAAGCACCAGAAATGTATCCGTATATTTACGAAAATTAAATCTACGATGTCAGAAATGCAAACAGAAAATGAAGAGAGCGAAAATGAAATTCAATACAAATAACAACAAAAAAAAACGAACGTGAATGTTTGTACAAGCTTTTTTCACTTGTGTGATTGTCACTGAAGCGACAGCTCAATTTAATTTGAGCTTCAACAACATTTGTCTTCAATTCGAGCACGCAAAAAATTATAATGTCAACCCGAAACGGAAACGAACGCGCCAAATCAAAGAACTGTGCTCTATGGATATTTTATGTGAGTTTGAGATTTGTGCAATCTATCGAACAGCATGAGAGCAGAGAGAAAATGCCAATTCATCATTGTTGAATAATGCAAATAAACCATAAAAATTCACACTTTACAATTGCAAAGTCTCCTTTTATGTGTGTGTGTGTGCGCGCACGAAATAGCTGTAGTTGACGTAATAGATGACAGTGCAACTTGTGGCTATGATTTGTAATCGTACACCAACACGAATCGCCTTAAATAAATATATGTATGCACATAAGTGCGAAATCCGTTCGAATAATATCGAATGTTGAATAGAACGAAAATAAAAAAGATAAGAAATAGCAAATCAATTCAAGACGTGAAATGAAAATCACGTGCAATGCTCGAACAACAAAAGTGAATGCGAAACAATTCCCAATTCTTGAATGAGTAGGTTTTGCAAAATCGAAAGCATAACGAATATAAAAAGACCCAATCACTTGAAATTTGAAACGAGTTTTGAATTTATGAGATATATACTCATGAGTGTTTGTTTCGCTTTTCTTCTCTTTCCGATTGCTTCATTGCAATCCAATCATGTGGAGAGTAGTTTGCGTTAGTTGATTGATTTGTTCATTTCCGAGAATTTCGTCATGATTCAATCGCAGAAAAAAAATTGTCGGATCAGACAAATGGCGCTCTTGAAATGTATATTAACCGAAAGTGCCAAGACGGAAGAAAAATTTTAATTTCGAAATCCAAATGAAGCACAAATGTCGATTCGCTTAGAATTTTAAGCAAATGTTAATGCGCTTGTTTTACATCATGTAAAATTACATGAACGAAAGAAAGAGAACACACACTCAAAACATCTCATCAACATCAAACAATGCACATTCTTGTTTTTACAACAAGCACTCTTTTTATTGCCAATTTTCATTGTTCATTAAGATTTTCTTCGATTTTTTTTTTGGTTGCCGTCGTTTAGTATTGCAAATTCATTGCGCGTAGCCTCATCCAAATATAAAGCACATGAATTATGAAGCGGTGATAAATTTTCGCTACGATGTACGTGTTCATTTTGTGGTATGTGCCATTTATATTTGAAAAAAAAGAGAGAAGTCAGAATGCGTTCGTTCGTACAGTAATTTTTAATATGAATCGAAAAGCCAAAGACATTTGCAATGTGTGGACTTTGAAACATAATTCACATCAAGACATTCATAAATTGATTGCGTCTTCTTGTTGTAGTTTCGTCTTTTTCTTGATTTTTCATTTCTCTTTCATCTCTTGCAAATGTAATCTACCAGAACCGATTCGTTTGTCATCGTACACAAAAAAAAAACACAAAATTGTTTGTATTCAATAAAGACAGATTCAATGCCTAGTCGATTTTTCTTTTTTTTTGTGTGTGTCAGCCACAAAATATCATCGTGACAAATTGATTTCAAAGACCGAAAAGCATTGAAATGTTCACTGAGAATTATATTTTACTATTCGCCTCGAATTTCATTGATGGTATTTTTTTCAGAGAAAAACAGTCTCACCAAGTTATTCGTAGTGGTTTTTTTAGTCAGATATCTTTCGCTTCGAATGAAAATCATAAGAAAAATAGAAGATATTTTCGAAAGTAGATTTTAGCTCAAAACCTACATCATAATTTATATAAACAAACTGAAACTCCGAACATTCTTAAGTGCCATTTTCGATCAACATGAATGACAAAAGTTTTGTGCGCACTAAAAGCAATTTTCGGTTTCACAAGCTACCACAAAATTGAGAACAAATATGACAAAAATGAAATTTATGAATGAGAAATTGCTATTTATTTTGAAAATCAAAGTAAAAGACACACCCTTACACCCAATGCGGGGTGAAGGAGTGTGAGAAAATCGCGAGAATTCGAAACGATATTTGTATGTACATAAATCGGAAATGCAAGAGAGATAAAGTGAATGAAAACAATAGCAATATATAACGCTGTGTGCCTTGTTATCGTACAATATCCCCGGCAATTGCTTTAAATACTTAAAATCACCTCTGCTTCCATACAATACACACAGCCATTCGTGCATTCATGCAATATTTAAAAGAAAATTGAGTAACTTTATTCCTCACGTGTAGTGTGCAACTGTGAATGGTTTCCCTGCCACTCTCGGCAGCAGCCGTGCGTGCTTGCCACATGGACATTCCGAAGAAAATAATATAAAACAAAAACAGAAAAGTAAAAAAAAACCGAAATGTATTTAAAGTTCATAGTTAAAAAGAAAATCTATGAACAGAAAAAAAGAAGTAAACAACAACAACAACAACACGACGAGTATCGAGCCATAGAATCGATTCAGAGGCTAATAGTGGCGTAAAAACGTGAAGTGCGAATGGCTCACGTCTTTCACAGTAGCTATAAATATATTCCGTTCTACCATTATACACACACACATAGGCTAATTTTTATGTTTGTTGCGTCGTTTTTCTCTGTTTCTCAACGTTTTTCTGGAGGTGCACGTAACACACTGCAAATGTGTGCACACACATAAAAGTGAAATAAATGCATAAGCAATTATCGAGCAAAAGAGAAAAAGTGTAGTTTTTTTTTAATTCTAGCCCGTCCCTTTTTCTGTATATAGATAATAATAAAAAAAAACCTAAAGAAGAAAAACGTGAACAACGAACTGAATATTATTTTCACTTTTATTGCATGTGATAGTCGTAAAACGAGGCACCGTCCATTTAAAGTAAAGTAGTGTATATTAAAAACGAAGTGTTGTTTGGATTTCGAATATAATAACGCGATGAAAACGCAGCACACAATCTGTTGGCTCTACATTTGTTGCAGGACGACATCAACACTCTTGAACTTCAAAAGTGAGAGCAGGCCATTGAATTGTGCGCTCGAATAGTTCTTTTTTCGTATTTGAAGGTTCTGTTTATTAATTATAATTAATACCCTTCAAATGCATTTATGTGGTAAGTTTCAATTGTTTGTAAGTTTTTTTTGGGTGCACTGTCGATGAGCGAGAAGAATTTTTCGCCAGAGATCGAATGATTTATATATATGGTTTTAACTTTCTCTGAAAAATTAAAATGGAAAATGGAATTAATGGCTTTTCTCCAAAAGACCCGTCGAATATTTAAGCATAAAGTCAAACTCAACTCCAAACAAAAAGTGATTGAGTTAGTTTCATATAAACAGATAAGAGTCGATTGCGCTCACCGGCAAGAGTACTTTTCATCTTTTTATTCGGTTGGATTTCCATTTTTCTGATGGCATTTATATTGAATTTTCAATTTCCATATGCAAACGGCATTTGATCTCGTAAAATATACACACACACCAGGCTGTGGCTCATGAAAAATTCATAAAAATCATTTATACGATTGCATTCGAAATACAAAACACTGAGCTCACTATAATACATTCTCCCTTTACTTTCTACATCAAACACTCTCTCTGTCTTTCGTGCTCTGTTTCTTTCTTTCTCGTTCGCTCTTTCTCAGTTGAATTATGTAACGTAACTTGATGTCAGGAGAAAGAATCGAGAAAAATACTGAAGAGAATTTTTTCAGACAATATATTGAACTAACTGGTCAGTTGAGCTGAAAGTATGTTAGCCAGCTAAATGGACTAAAACAATAGAAGTTATTGTTATAATGAACAATCACTTCTATTAAAACAAGAAAAGTGATTCATCATTAAAACAATAACGTCTATTTTTTTAGCCCATTTAGCTGGCTAACGTACTGTCAGCTCAACTGACCAGTTAATTCAATATATTGTCTGAATTTTTTTTTCGCCCGAGAAAATTTACGGAAATGAAATAAAAACACACCGTACCGAAAACGATAGCAAGGAAAATACGAGAGCACATCCATCATTGCACAATATATTATGCATCTCTATACTATAGAAGAAGTATAGGCGAATAAAAAAGTGAATCGAATGCAGTCGAATGCATGCCAATGGCAAAATACAATACAAACAGAGTTGGTTTTTCGTAATTTGAACGGTTGTATGATCTCAAGTGAACGTGTTTGTTACGGCAACTACAAGACAGCACAGATAACTTTTCACATATTTCAGATATATAACAACGGATGCCAAAAGTTCACCAACTATAGCACAGAGTATAAGATCAAAATCACCAGTACATGCATTCACACAATCCCACAGAATCGACGCAACACACAAAACGAATTGAAATGAAGAAGTTTATCTCTTGAATTCGCATTTGGGGTATTGTTCGTCGGTTCAATTGCTCAACGAAATATCACATAAAAAAAACTTATCGGAAAGAAGTTTTACTCAATTTTTACATCATTACATGGCAAAATATTTCAAAATGAAAACAATAGAGTTGAAATATTCTTAAGGCGGTGGAATTAAAGACTGTCAAGAATGAATATGATTTTCGTTTGTCTTTATGCACTTTCCGTCATTATATTTTCAAGCATTCTAATAAATGGTGTGATTCAACTTCTTATCATTTTCCTTTTATCGGATGCTCTAAATTGATACCATTTTGCAAAGCGAGTAACGATACGATAAAATGGCGCAACGGCATCGAAATGATGAAAGGATATTGAATCGAACTGAAAGTGGCAGAGAATGGGTCTTGAGAGATTCCTTTAAAATGGTAATTCAAGTGCTACTGCTAGAGATTTCAATGAAAAAGCTTAAGAAATTGGGTGCAGTGGATGAGTCAGAAAAATTGGCACAAAATCTTCAGTGTTTATCATCACAACAAATCGTTGAATTAATGAGGTTGATTGAAGTGCATCTTACCGTCGTCCTTGGTTTGACTTAAATAAAAATCAATAATATTTCCGTTATTACTTCAAATCCGCATATTCACTGCATATTATTAACAATATCATATGCCAATTATCAATGTCACATTTTTAATGAGTAAGTGATACTTTCACAACACTTGTGCCAATCGTATATTAGCGTTGAATGTTCCGTTTTCTTTGTAGTGCATACATCAATCGATTATTTATGAGCAAGAGTGTGTTCGTGAACTTTGAATCTGCGAGCTAGATTTTGCTGCTTAGCTTAGTCGACAGAGAAAGAGAGCACGTAACGAGCGAAAATGGGAGAGAAAAAAGAAGGAAATGAATTTAAAATGGCGGATACATTTTCACTCTATAGCTTTCTTTCGACAAAAAAAATATGATTCGTTCGATACGCTTGCCAATCACTTGTGCTACATACAAATCTCAATGTGTATTTTCATCGATAAATCACACCTTTTCACCATATTCACTTGATACAGATTTTACACTGATTCTCGTTTTTCTCTATCTCTTTTTTTAATCCCATATCTTTTTTCGTTACACTTTTCGCATATATCTGCAGGCATAAAACCAATAATCCGATGTGAAACAATTTTAAATCCGAATACAATCAAATCAACAGCATATACGATTGCATCGATTGATATTTTCAATAAAATTGAAGAAATGCACTTTTTGAAATTAAAAAACGTTTTTTTTTTTAAATAAATTATTCTCGTCGATTGAAAACGCTAAACGAACACTAAAATGAACTAAATGAAATGTTGAACTAAAAAAACTGTCTCTGATGTGGATCGGATGGACGAGAAACACTAGTCGGTGATCGCGAGCACCAACGAACCGAAAACCTCATAATATAACATTCATTGCTTCTAAACTGAAAATTGATCGAATGTGCGCGTGCTCATTGTATCGACCAAAATAGAATTTAATTTCGTCTCGTTTCAACAACGCTCTTTTTTCTACGCCAATTCAACGATATCTCACTCTTTTCTTTACGGGAACGTGTCTATACTGCATTCGTCTACGGCTGACGATTGTTCACTTTGTTTTTTTTTTCTTTCGATTCTCATGTATTTTCGAGAGCATAAGCAATGAATACGTACAAACCGATCGTTATTTAAGATGTCGGGGCGCGTAACGATTATTTCGTTTGTAGCGTAACATTTCGGAAAATTTAGTGCCGTTTGCTCGATCACAGTAATATTCAAAACGAAAAAGAAGAAATGAAAAACACAAACGAATTGGATTGCGCATGTGCAACTCGCATAGCTTTGGATTCGCATTTAAAGAACCACACACACACACTCACACGCTCATTTTGGCCGAAGTGATTTTTTATTTAAATTTATTTTGTTTTTGAACCGTCGTTACTCTCTGTAACATCGCGTAAATAATATTTAACCAATCGACCATAAAAACCATGATTCGAAAATGTGAAAACTGCATACGACACTTTAATTGCAGCTATTTTGTAAAAAGCGGTCGAATGACTCTGCCTACGAACGAGTGCAATGAATGAATTTTTGCTGTTTGTTATTTCTTCGGCGAAAAAAAACAATAACACATACACCAAATTTTGTTCAGTCGCAAAAACAATTGAGAAAGAAAATGATTTAACCGAAGTTAGAATTCGCGCGAGAGACCGTGTGTATTGCTCTTTTACGCTGCTGGCGCATATAATTAATTCAGACATAATTAAATTTTGAATTGGTTTTGGTGCGTCTATCATGTTTGTTGAGTCATTAGCCCGTTCATCAGGCGCAGATGCATTATTTAAATGTATTCAAATGAGTGCGCTACTGTAGCACGTTTTTATAGACGCATACATTGGTTGCTAATATATAAATATCGATTTGGACTGAATTCGTGCAATTTTCCAATTTACGCTCAAACATTCGGGCCCTTTGTTCTCGTCGTCGCCGTAGTCGTCGCTTTGCTCGAAATCTCTCTGTAAAACATGCATCGAATTGGATTGAGAAGTGGTACTTCAACTAGTAATTTAAATTTTGAATAAATTTGATACATCATAAGTGCCACTCTAACTTCATAAATAAAATCAATCGAAATAAAATCATGTTCTGTGCACCATGCAATTCCGTTGTTTAATGCTCCAAATGTTTATGTTCATGCTCATGTTGTTGGTCGTTGCTGAAATGTTCAATTCTAAAACCTCTCTCGATGACATATCGCAGAATGCACGCACGTACACGATATTAGCCTTCTGAAAATTAGATGATGAATATGGATATATATATTATTCCGACATTCTACATGTACACTGAATCAGCTCAGTTCAGCTCATAAAATTTGATTTTGCTCGTTTTCTTTAGACATTTATTTCGCTCCGCAATATCTAACTTGTAAACTCATCTCTCTCTCTCTCTCTCTCTCTCTCTCTCTTCCTCCCTCCGTCTTTAGTCAGCTGATAAATATTGTGCCAGCGACAACGACAAGGCCCCAGATTTTTTTCACTTGAGACGCCGCCGACACTATTGTGTGAAAAATCTGTGAACTCTCTCGTTGATTCTGTCGCCTTTTCTAACTTACAACTTCATCTAATTCTTTGCAAATTGTTTTCAATTTGTTTTCCCATGATTATTTTGATGAAATTATGTGTTTGGCAAGCGAGCGAAAACAAAATTCAACGAATTAGACAAAATAAACTCGAAAAATGTTTGTCTCTAAAAAAATCTATTCGAAAGAGGGTTTATATCTCTATCTCGAATAGAGCAGAACAAAGTCAAAAATGTCGTAAACGATCAAAAATACACCCCATAAACATTATAATAGACATATTATTTACATAGTTAACTTTTATTGTGATGCGCAAAAAAAATTTCGCGCAAAATCTCTCACCCACCTCGTTCTCGCTCGCTTTTGGCCGGAACATTTTTTTTCTGTCGCACGGATCGATTGAGCTCAGAGAGATAAAGAGCGAGAGATTGTCGGCATCTGGTGTAAAATGAGAGTGATTTTTTATTATTTAATAGGTAAATTAACTCGAAATTTATTTACCGCGTTCATTTACACAGAGAGCGCATCTTCATGTGCATGTACACGGTGCGATTTATGTACATTGCACAACAACAACATACGCATGTACGCATCTACATGGTAGATAGAAAAAAACGAGCGAGAGAGAGAGAGAGAGCAAGCGGATGCGTCCGTTGTGTACTTGTGTGTCGTTTTTCATTTGGTTTTTCCGGATGAGTACATAAAATTGCATTTCCTGGTATAAAATCCAATGAATGTTGATCTATGAATAGCAAACGATTTTTAGATTGAAGCCCCAAAAAGTGGTATATGCTAGCCAAAATGGTAGTTTTTTTCGCGTGGTTTAACTGCCACACATTTTTGATGCAAACTTAATTTAAAAATCCAAATGGATTCACTGGATCGTATATTGCTTAAGCTAGTATAATCCGGAATACACACACAGTCAATAGATAAAAATGACCATCTGATTATGGTGCTTGTACTACGGTGGCCTGAATCAACGATTAAAAAGAACGTTCGAATAAAAACACACTCTACTCAATCCTAAATAGAATCTCAAATCGTGATAAAATCGTGTCGAGGCAACATATTTTTTCATTCTATCCGTTATTTCAGTGACACATTTTTTCACTCTGTTTCACGATAAAAAAGAACTCACTTTCATCTCCGAGCAATGTGAAGAAAGAAAAATTATAGATGAAAATGTTTTTGATATTATAGAAAATGACGCCAGATTCTCAAACACACAGAGAGAGAGACAATCTTTCAATCTTTTACTTTTTGCTTATAAAATTGTTTGTGTGTTTTTCGCAGTCGCTAGAAAAATAGAAGAAGCACAAAAAATAACATTCCCGATTCAACACTTTAAGCCACAGAATGTCCGCACGCGCGCTCGTGCCGTTCAGTGTACAATAACACACAACACATTCTTTTGAATTGTCATTGGCGCTTGTCTAAAACTCCCTCCCTCTCTCGCTCTCTATCTATCTATCTCTGTAGCCAGCCGCAGAAATTCATGCAATTCGAAACCATACAGTACATTTAGATGTTGCGTTGTTTTCGAATACAAAAATAAAAAATCACAACGAAACCAACGACTTTGATATTAATTTGCGTGGAATTTCGGATATTTACATTTATTTTCACAATGGATTGGCACACCAAACGAAACGAAAGTAGTGGCTTCTTTTTTATGTGTGCCATGCCCTCTAGTTGAACATGTAACAAAATTCGCGCAAAGTATGAGCAAATCCCGTCTCATGATGTTTTCGTTCACGTCAATCGAAATGAGTCGGTGATTTTTAAATGGAGTGATTTTGATTTTTGCTCGAATGCACAGCGAAAATATATTAGTAAATTTGTTGGGTTGGCGAAGAAAATTCAAAATGTTCATATAACCGAAAACTATCACGAAACGTGAAACGAATCGGAAAATTGGGACGACCAAAAATTTATAGTTTGTCATTGGAGCACGCAAACGGAAATTAAGTTATCATCAGCTCGAATTGGTCGTTTATCATTTATAACGCTTTTTCGCTTTATTATAACAATAAATGATGAAAATTTTGTACGATAGCTCATAATTCATGCATCTCCAACATTTTCATTGTTTAGCGTTTATGTTTGAAATATGCAAATGCACGCCATTCACCGCTCACTGACAGAATAGCAGAGTAGAATAATAAACTACTTTCTATATCACTCTCTCTCTCGCTCTCTCACACACACACATGCTCTATCTTTTTCTTTTGTAACGACAGAGAAATTTGCCGTTTCATTGCAATTGACCTAAATCACGGTTAAGAATTTTGGTTTTCTCATACAGGATCAATTATTGAATTTCAGTTTTTTGCGTATTCATACAATTTGTATGTATGCAAAAGAATATTGTTTCTTTAAAATGACACACATGTGCCGCAAAGTGACTGGAAAAGAATCATTCACGTAAGAGCCGTTTGCGTGTTAATATGTTCGCGTAATATGACAGAAAATGGATTTGACCTGTTCACTTTGAAATGTCAGTGACATTTGAACGCTAGAAATGGCATCGTTGCGAAGGAGTTGCAGTGGCAAGAAGGCACTATTGCGAAAGTCAGCTGTTTGCACTTACAATGTACAAGTACATAAACAACACTCCGGAGATCATACACAACGCATTAAAATCGCAAGTATAACATACATATTGAAAAGAAACATTACATTTGAGCACATAGTAAGTTGTACATTCGAAACTTGAAGATATTAAGTTGTGGCATATTCTCAGGCATTGGAGTGTGTGTGTGTGTTCGTACGTGTGTATGTGCTTAAAGTCATTTCAAATTTGGCGCAGAGAGCCATTAACATCACACACGATGTTAGTGTCACATATTACAGATATGTAAACGATGCCATTCCATGTCATAAATTAGAAGGAAAAAAAAGATCAAAATGCGAGATGTTTCTATAACATGAAGCGCATGCATGGTAAAACACCCAGTGAATGGCAAAACATGAACCGAATTGAAATGGTAAGTTTTTATATATACACATTATAAGCGCATATCGTTTGCGATCGAAACAACACGTAATATCACTGTTGTACTGAATTTTTCAAAGCCAAAGTTGCTTGGCTCCCACACACATTTATTTTGTATATTTTGCGTTCGCTTTATTCGATTTGAAATTCAGTGAATTTCATTTGGAGCGAAGTAACATATATTTTTTTCTCTCTTTCGATTTGTTTAGGTTTTTTGGGTTTGTTTTTATATCGACTTCCTTTTCAATCAGCATAATGGTGAATTGGATTTTTGTTCGGTAACTCGTGCGCTGGGCCGTTAATAATTTTCAAAGGCAAATAAAAAATTCAAATTGAATGTGCGTATTCGCACAAATTGAGAGGATTTTTTTCTGCCATTCAGTGAACTTTATGTTGCACCACCTCAACACGCAATACACTGGATGCTCTACTTTTATTTCAAGTGATTTTTTTTAACTTCAAACTCCAGAATTTTGATTTTGCTTCATCTGCATACACTTTCTGTGTAAACTATAATGAATCAGTACTGATGGTGTTCGCAGAAATTCATGGGTGTGAATTGTATTGACTCCGTACAATGATAAAACGTGGCTTTGCTGACTTCATTAAATGCATGTCCGAAAGATAAAATCATAAAAACAACCAGTTGGTAAAGTATTTTTCTCTCTATCTCTCTTCCACTCTCTTTCGGTTCATTTTGTGTGTGTGTGTATTTGTGAAAGAAATATAATTTGCATTTTAAAACAGCGAATTTTGACGACATTCACAAACGAACAAATGACGATATCAAGAGTGACCTATGCGTAAAAATCATCTGTCACAATAAAAAGTTAAACAACAACAAATAAAATGCAAAAATTCACCCACTTTACAGAGGACGTCCGACTTAATGAGGCAGAGAAGTTCGAGAAATGTTTGGTTTAATCGAGAATCCAAGCAATATCATCAATTTTCTTTATTATCGCTAAAATGTCAGTCACAATGGAATTTCGTTGCACTTTTTAGCTACTGTGATTCGACAGAAATGTGACAGAGACAAAAATAGAAATCACATTTCAACACATTGGTCGGTTGGTTTGAGAAAGAAATCTCATAATTAATTATTATACTCAAAAAAAAAAAAAAATGATGAAGAAAAAAATTGATCTGTTCATCGCGAGAAAAAAAACCAGCGAGGCACACACAGAGAGATAGAGATAGAAGAGAAGTTAAGACCAGAGGCGCTACACACGGCAGAAAGGTTTGTGTAATTTATTTGTGTGTCACCTGAGTCATCAACGCTCATTTTTCTCAGCAACAATGACGTAATTGTTAAATACACGAGTATGAATCAAAACACGATTATCTATGAGCTCAGCCAAACGAAACCACGACTCACTTTTGTTCACGACAAACGAGGTTGAAAACCGTAAATTGTATTTGAAATCTGTATGAGACACACATACATTTGGCCCGCCAATTAAATGAGACGAATGGAGATAGAGTAGCTGCTATGGCAATGTGCATCTGACTTTATAAAATGTGTGCTTTCTGTACGTATATGAGATGTGCATGTATTCTTGTTATTTATCGTGACGCATTTTTGCTCATTTGGCAAATAATACGTGTTTATACTAGGTCTTTGTCGGTCAGCTAATGAGCCAATACCAATGGGAACTCACACACCGTAATCCTCACGGTATTTGTAATGATTTTACTGAAACAATAAAAATTATCAGCCATTATTATTATCGTTCGATGTTATCGGGACGGTATTTGTTCTGTGCCAAAACAACGTTTACCTTTGCCGATTAAAAGTAAGCCTTACCAAATTCGATTCAATATGGCAACATCAGTTAACTAAACACCAACATCAAATATGGCATTTATGAAAACGGTATTTTATTCACAAACATCGAAATTTGGAATCGTATCAACGACTCTGCCATTTGCATTGAAATGACAAGACAATTCTATTTAACATTCATTACGTCACCGTAGATTTTAAGTGGGTGCTGCACATACGGAACATACCAATCACAATATGATTAGTCTTTTTGGCTGTTGATTTTTGTGTATTTTATTATGTTCATGGCATCGTACACTGAAATATTCAAGTTATCGCATCGTGTATACATACATAGTTCATAGGCTAGCGAGAGAGCAACACCGACACTTGGTATGTGAATGGGTTGTGCATGCAACGGGGCCACACTGACTAAAATTTTAAAGTGAACAATGGCATAAATTGTATTCAATGGCACATTGAATTCGGAGTGCGAGAGAGAGACAGAGATTTACAAAACGAAATAGGCAAAATCAACCAAATCGAATGGTTCAACCAAATCTTAATGTTGGTTACACATTTATTGTCGTTTGTTCCTCAATTTTGATTATTATCGTAGGCGCGTGCGGTAATAATATCTTTTGTCATTTTCTGCGTATTTTATTTTGTCAAATTTCGTGAATATTCGATTTGAACGACAAAAATTTATTGGTTTGATTCATCACACACACGCCGTCTTTAAATTGGTTTTATGTGATTTATTTTGTCACGAGACAATTTTTAGAACATTTGTTCAAGGTAAATATTTGACCCAATCGAAAAAAAAATTGTGCATATTTTTCCGGAATTAGACAAAACTATTGACTCACTGTGTTTGTATGAAAAACAAAATAGATAGCAGTCGATGATATGGTATGGTGCATACGAAAAAAAATTCGATATCTAGACGAGCTCTATGTAATTTTTTTTGTCGTATGTGTCTTAAACAGAAGGAAAAAAAGACACACAACACATTCCGAAGCTCGATCAGCTTAATCTTAGAAGAGTTCCTCCAGTGTACGAAAATGAGTAGTTTCAGGTCTAATTATAGCGCGCACGGACCATTTTTCGAGCACACTCACAAAATGACGACAGTTTTAAACGCAATAAAACAAAAAAAAATTCGGGTGTTTCGTTGGCCCATGCATGAATGTGCGCGCGACAGAGAGAACAGCCCATGTTCTATTTGTTTTTCGTATGTATTTATACCTTTTTCACTTGTATAGCAGTGAAAAAAGAATCGAAAAATCGTGACTTTATACTTTTTCGTTGAGTTGTAGCAGAGTGACACTCTTTTCCGTCGATCGAATTTTGCGAAGAATGCAGTCTTGTCATTTATAAACAAAAACGACGAATTGCTTTTGGCCCAAGATTTTTTTTTGGCGATGAAGTGAAGAACATTTCAGTTTAACTAACGTTTTCAGTTAACTTGGTGAATTCAATGAACTTTGACACGATACAACTACTACAATTTGTTACTCAATTGTACCATCACTCATCAAAATAAAAATCCAATTTGAACGAAGACATACAATTTCTTATTAGAATTGTACACGCACCGAAACAAACAAAAATTTATACGTACACACGAAAAATTACAATCAAATTCAATTCATTTTCTTGCGAAAAAAAGAACATTTATCATCCATTAACTAATATCAAATTGCGCCGAAAAAAAGTATAATTTAAATAACTTCAATCAATTTTTGTGACCTTTATTTCATCATCTTTCTCTCTCTTACACACACACACACGCACACAAATAAAAACAACGACACAGCCGAATTTTATTTCTAATCAATTAACAAAAACAAAAACAATTATAAAAGATAGCCGACTTTATACGTACGCTTGAACTGATATCGATAATTTCTACGTAATTTGAATGGAGAAATTTAACTTTCCGTTTTGTTGTTCCGTGTATAATTTCAATGCAATACACTCAATTAAATCACACAAATCAAATACACTGCATTTCCGTAAAATGTTTTGCTTGAACGTTTGAATTTTTTAAAAATTTTCACACTCTTTGGACGTTTTGTAAGTTTGTTTTTTAGTGGTCATGAAGTCATCGACGATTAATCAGGGAAAAATCGCACAGACCACAAACGTTCTGTTCCACATTTTTCGTCTCACTGTCTCATTGGTATTGAATGTGATGCCGTATACTGCTCTCAAACTGACTACCAGTGTCGTTAAAATACACATAAACCCGTACGCCTCAATACATGCTCCATTGTCTTTGGTTGTCCAACTGTGTCAGTGTTTGTGTGATTGACTAATCCGTGTACACGTATGCATCTATGTATGTATAAAAATACGTAATTCCGCCATATTCCCCATTCTCCCACTACACACACATCATTCAGTCTGTCACTTTGTGTTTGTTTTGGTTTTTTTTTCTATTGCTCTTTAATTCGGTTTTAATCAATGAAGATAAGAATGTCATTGAAATTTAAATTTTACAATCAATTGCTGCTTGGCATTTCTTCCACTTTCCACACGTATGATGGTTTCATTTTTGATTTATCATCGTAATTTATGAAAAAATGTTTGTTTACATTCAACGACATCCGTTGTCTGCTTCGTTTGTACAATTTTACGAAATGTCAAACGTTAAGTCTCGTTCAGTTTACGACTTTTCGTTTCTTGTTGTTATGCCAGAAAAAAATACGTAATGTTTATGTGTGGAAACTACGTTGCTTCGTCAATATTATCAATGAAATTGAACCAAGCTCATTTAAAACCACATCACATCCGTTAGTAATGATTATGAATTTTAAAAAATGCTTTCAAATTTCGAATTTTTTTTTCATCATTTGCATATGCTATTGTATTCATGATTTACCATTGTATTTAGAAAACATTTGTGAGTGTTGGAATTCAAAATGAAGCATGGTAAAATGTTGACAAGTGTTGGATTCGACGCAGTAGATTCGATTTGCATTTGTTGCTACCGTTGAATGTCAAGCATGGGATAAAGTGTACATATGAGTTCGATTGATAAGAGTTTTCCTATTTTTCTTGCCTTCATTGAGAACTTTGAGTTCGTACGAAACGTGATTTCATGGTGAATTGCATCGTACGCTCACAACACAGTTGTTGTATTCAAAATATGTGCGTCGGCGAAGCTCGAAACAGTTACCCCAACACCATAAAGCTGTTATTTTGTGAGTGGCTTTGTGTGTTGGATGCCGTATCGGTACGTATTCCATGTGACCGATGCGCGCGACCGATGTGTTACGCGAAGGTGTCATGCCAATTTTCTTTATGGATTTTCTCCAGTCTACAGTCATGATTTGATACAAACTGACAGAAAGAAAACCCCCGAAACACACGTATACATAACATACAAAAAAAAATTCCCTTTTCATTTCTAAAAAACACAAAATTTCGACATAAATAAAATAAAATAAAATCAAAGTTTCTATGAAGTAAAGAGATAGTGCAAAGGATAAATCAATGGAAAAGTCTGAGTTTTTGTTTATTGTGCATTTTAGTTGAATAAATGAGTGCCAATACACATTCAATGAATGGAAAATGTAGGAATTTTTTGTGTGTGAGTTAATCGATAACAAAAGGCAATGAGACTGAAAATTGTTTTGGCCGAATTGTTTTGAATAGAAAGGGACGAGTTTTTGTTACGGATTTCGACAATCGAGCGACACAAAAAGTTGAAACGCATTTAAACTGGTTGGTTTGAGTGCGTGGGAAGGAAAAATAAAGAGCAGCGTCCAATTAAACGGAGCCAAAACACAACGTTTTAGTGTAGCCAAAGTGCAAGTGAGCCACTTATATTATGTATTTTAGTCGTGTTCGTTCCTATTATGTTAATCAAGCTGATGTACAAAAGGTATATACTATAACAAACTTATAACATACAACTCATAATCGTAATCATTAATTTTACTATTTTTCATCTGTAATTGAAACTTGTTTATTTCTCTCTCGCTACTACTATCTACTCAATTCGAATACCATTTCAAAAGTGTGTAATGTATTACGGGGACGAATGTATTATTTGCATCATCGTTGTGAAGGGTGCTTGGGTCTAATCAATGAAAATCACATTTTCTAAACACAATTATCTAAAGTCCTTCATGTCAAAATCTAGTGAAAGTTTTGCGATACGATAACGAAAAACTTGCCCATTATTTCAACGAAGATAATGACATTATATCCACCTGAATAACATTCCAATGAATTTCACTTTGGATCACTTTGTTCAGTGTAATTTTCGATTTTACTTTGGGATTATATGCTGTCAAGTGCTAAAAGAGGCCCTTAATTTGATTTGATTTTTTCTTTTCTTTTTTCTAGTAGTTCAAGGCCAGTGAAAAAAAACTGAATCTTTTATTCATTACATGAGAATTCGAAGAAAAGGGCTAACATCTCCAATTCATTCATGCTAACTATTCTCTATCGATTTTTTTTGCTCGATTAAAGTTGATAGAAAATAGACACACACACATATATGCATACCAAATATTACGTTATATAAAATATGTGTCGCTAGAGCAGTGAAGCCAATTCAATGTTTTTCTTTATAGTACGGGTTCATGCATTGTGGTATGTTTAATCTCGTCAATCGTCTAAAAGACAGCGGAATAAATAGAGTGTTCTGTTTGATGTTGATAACGGTTTTCGTGTTGAATGTCAGTCAGCTTTAAATACATTCAACTGAAATAGATTGGAATAGATAAAAGCATCGAATACACACACACACACACACACGTGAAGACCAAAGCCCACGCGTGACTCAAATTATGTGGAATATACCGAGCTCTTTAGTGCTTGAAAATCAAAACCATCCGTACGCAATTTTTTTCCCTTTCTCACATAATTTTCCATGTTTTACTATTAGATAAATAGTACATAAAAGCTAACAACACCACCAACAGCAGCAGCAGCACGCTGGAGTGTCATCAATCAAGCGGAATAATGTGGTGATTCTAATTATTCTCCATTCTCTCGGTTGTTGTCAATGAAGCGTTCGCTTGGGTGTTCTCGTTTAAATTGATTTATCGAACGAAAAAAAATGGTCGTTAAAAAAATATGTCTTGTCTCCGCTGTCGCGAAACTCTCTCAGTTCGAACATAATTTTGGAATGTGCTGAGCTGGGAAAATCAAGTAGAATTTCATGGCATTTTAATGCAACCAAAACAGCGATTTTCTAGTTTCATTGATAGCGTAACAGTGAAAGCGGGCGAAGAAAACAATCTTGACCCAGATTCGGGCATTTTACGCCAGATGTTTCTCAAGCCAATTATTTTTTTTGTCTTCTCTTCAACCCGACTAGATAACGATGTGTGGTGCATTGTTACGAAATTTTGATATCGAAAAAAAAGAAGCAAATAAATTTGTGACTTTGTCCTTTGGACAAAAAATAGTATTCGAAATCATTTGCTCCCATTTGAATTGAAAAGGCGGCGAAAAATGTCATTTTTCGCATCATTGTCAACCAACACAATGAATGGTGAGACTCAATTCACATAATTCCAATATTATTTAATAAATACGGAATTTAAATTGCTCCCACCACCCACATATCCGCAAACATTGTGAAAGAGAGAATGCATTATCGTATGTGTGCGTGGTTGTATCACGACTTTTGACATTTTCAACGTGGAATTTTGTAGACATTTTATTTATTTGCATGCGTATGCTAGCATATAGTCACATACATAGATTGAGAGTGTCTTGCTCTCGGCGTGAATGTCACTTACCTAAATGGAAAATTGTATTACGAACATACTTTTTATGGTCCTTTTGCGCTTCCATTAGTAACAGTGTTCTATGCATGATCCTCACCGTCTCTCTCTCTCTCTCTCACACACACACACACATCAATCTCATCTCTCTCTCTCTCCTCCTTGCAAAAAACAATTTACCATTTTCATTATGAAATTAGTCATGAAGCATTTTCAATTGAACCAAAATCAAGTCACATTATTGTGTTCAGCTCCAGTTTGAATAAATTAGTTATCTAGTTATTTATGCTTGTTCTAACACTGATTCCATATGTCAACCATTTCGAAGCGAAAGGAAGAAAAGCAAAACGTGATTTGTATGCTGTAAACGTCATAATCCAATTTAATTTGGTCGTTTAAATGTGCACATTTATTTATTAGATTATTCTTTTGTTGGTTGGGAGAATTTTGCATTTCAATGGACAAAAAAGATTTTTTTGCGTCAGAGTAACTCTCTACTGCACATGTTGAGTGTAACAAAATGTTATTATATACCGACGTACATTCTAACTTCATTTGCATTTCCCAAATGGCTAACAATGTCACTGCAACCATTCTTGTCTATATCGAATTCCATGAAGAGAATTTGTAAGAGCTTTTGAATTGTGGTTAAGCAAAATAAAAGTACGGTTCGTGTTTCATGTAGCATCAAAGTGAAGAAGCAGTGGTTTACATTTTTCTTCACGAAAATTATGAATGTTTTTATGCTTATATTTTCCATTAATTCACTTCTTCTTCTCGATTAATATTTTAAAATATTCGTCGTCCAAACACCCACCACTACACCACTTTAACATTTTTCAATAAAAAAAAGCTTTCGCCACTAAACAACGGAGATATATTTTATTTTTAAATATTTATATGTACATCGACCCACGCGTAATTTGTACCATTTATCAGAGTTTGAATACATGGCCTAAATGTGCGCCAATGTTCCGCAATTTACTTCTATTTCTATATATTACAATATTTCCAGGCCAATCATATATTTATATATACAATCCGTGCATTCTTTTGCAAAATTGATGGTACTCTCATTAACATTTTCTCCGTTGGAATTCACCACAACATTTTCTTTATTCAAGAAAAATATCTCTCATAAATGATTTCCTTTTTTTAAAAAAGAAATATGTATTTATCTCTTTCTCTTTCTCTCACCCTTTGATGTCTGTTGAGAAATGCTTTTCATTTAAATTCCAACGTTCGCTTGCGATGACAGTACTTGTTGTTGCTTGTTATAACCGCTTCTTTAATCAGAAAAAAACAACAAATAAGGTGAAACGGAAAAAATAGGGTAATATCACATTTCACCTTATTTGTTCGTGTACCATTCAATTGACATGCTATTACTGCATCCCCAATCAATTTTATTTTAGTTGAAAGCAATAACCGATAAAGTGGAAATAAAAAAAATATATGGAAAAAATACAGTGAAACTTCAAAGGCAGTTTTGCTGGATAATAGAGTGAGATAGGGACGGGTGAAAAAAAAATCAAGTATAAGCTTTTCTACGGAATTATTCAGATGGTGTGTAATATCTTCTTTGGTCTGGATTGTACGGCATCTGCCAATTCAGTGAATTGTCAGAATAGTCTTATATAACGATCAGCCGTTCGCACGAGTGCTCATCAAATAGCTCGTAAATGGTGAAATTCATTATTCGAAGCAAAAGTACAAAAAATAAACCGAAACACAAAATGAGTTTATCCGAGTATTAAGCTAGATGTATGCACGATTCTTCCATCGTCCGCATTCGCTTCGAGATATTCGCAAGTGCAACACATTCATCTCGAACTTCCGCTCGAGCATTTCAGTGTTTATAGTTGAAATTTATAGTGTGTATCTCTTTTCATTGTAAATCCAATTGTTTTTCGACGAAATTACAATCTCGGGATAAATATTCACTTTAGCGTTTATGATTTGCCCAAGGACTCACTTACGCTATATCTCATGTTATTGTCAACGTCGTGGTACTTCAAAGTGCTTGTAAACTTTTATTTATACCATTTCGGTGTATTTTCATGTGATAACATGGCAACGATTAAATGCGAAACATCTACAATGTTCATTTCTGTTACGTGCACTCTTTCGCCAATGGAAAAAACCGAGAGCAAAACAGTTTTAAGTTCGTCGTTTTGGCGTTTGTTTCGCGCTACTCTGACCTGCGAACAAAGTGAAATTTATCGCCGACACTTAACACGAAATGAACGCATTATATTTTCGTTCAAGGAAAATGGAAAATGTTGGTTTTTCTTTCCGAAAAAAAATTACAGTGGTTTTGTTTCAAAGTTATACCACAAAATGCTAATTTCGTTACCGCGTTGAACTGACAATTAAGCTTTTTTGTGTGCAAAACAGAAACAGTTCAACAAGTTAAAAAAGCATTGGGAAATAAAAGACTTTTTGTACTCATTGTAATTTTGTGAATTGAAGAAGTACGCGACGCTTACCAGGTGTTGGAATACATTTTGTATGAACGAATTTCAAAAGATTAAAACTAACTTATCAAACTCGTGAACAGAATGGACATTTTTATTTTTCGATCAAGATTGAAATTAAGGGAACTATTGTTCAATGACAAACTTCCAAAGTGGAAACTATTTTATATGGAACTTTGTTTCCAATGAATGTTGCGAGCAAAAAGTTCATCTGCCAACTCAAATCAATGACGTGTTTTATCAAAATGAAAATTATTTCCCATCTGTCGTGTATCTATTATTTAACTGATTATAAAATGTAAAAATTTGCTTGCTTTGTAGGCAATACAATGAGCCAGCGATGAATGAGCCTTAGTAGAATTCATATCATGCATCCGTTTGCCGATTTTCAAATAGTTTCTTCAAACATCTAGATGTACCAATGTTTGATAGAAAAAATCATAAATTATTTTTGTAATTTGTGCTTTGAACCGGAGATTTGATACCATAACAACGTACGAATTTAGAAAGAAAAAAAACGTGCGAAGCACAAAATTCAAATTTTGCAACTGTGAGATAAAAATGATAAATTTTCATATAAAATTGGTTTAAATGGTGTGGTATCTAATCTCCATTGGAATGTTTCCTCTAATGTAATAATAAATTCGTAGAAAAAGAACCAAAATCAAGGATAAGAGCCAAAAAAAGTAATTTATATACAAAATGAGTGCCTTCTTAAGCTCCATCAAGAGTATGGTCGATAATTATGGCCACGGAATTATTTCAATACAAGGTAAATTGAGCTGAGCATATGTAATCAAAATACTTACTCCAAAAATTTAAATTAAAAAAAACAGCCGTAGGATATGCTTGCATTCAAACCAAAACAAATAATCCGAAATTAATAAATGAACATCGCAAAATAACCTTGATTTATCTTTATTTAGACCATAGATAAGGTGATAATAGATCAAGAAAAATTGCGTCTATAAAAATCCAAAAAGAAATATCATCCCCATTGGAATTGTGCACACAGCTTGGATCGATAAATCATAGTGTTTGTCTTACTCACTGCCGCACCATTATTTCACCAAAACAATCACATTTTTGCAATCACCACTTCACCATATTCCGAAAAAAAACTGTTCCGCTGTAGTTTAAACTATTGAATTTGTTGATGCAATTTTTAACTGACTTGATCCGCTCCCACACATAACATATAAATATAATCGATGAATTCGGTGGTTCTAATATTTTGCATGTGAAATTGATAATTACAGTTCAACTTGAAGACATGAAATTTGGGTTGATGCCATCACCACCACCATCGACAACACCTTATACAGACCCCTCAACCGCATCCACAACACCATCGTCATCGACGTCAAACTCACGGAAAAATAGTTGCAACAACAATACTATAAATATGTCAATAAATGCGATGAATGCGACCTCCGACTTTAATCAATGGCTGCATGCAATGAAGATGGTTGCACGATTACCAGGCGGCACACCTGGCGAATTTCGTCGCAAACTATGGCTTGCGTTGGCTGATCGGCATCTACATACAAGTGGCATTGATTCTACATACAAGTGGCAAACGAAATGCCTATCGAACGAAACTTGGCTCGATGATGACGAAGAATTGGGCATTCAAATTGTTAAGGATTTGCATCGAACTGGATCGAGTTTATTTTCAGGACCAAATGGCAACATCAATCAAGCGAAATTGAAACGCGTTCTACTTGGATATGCACGATGGAATCCAGAAGTGGGTTATTGTCAGGTAAATACAATCAATTGACTTCATACATCAGCAATTTTTTTTCTTCGCTCTGCTTACTCACTTCATAAAAATCATCATAAAAACGTATTTCAAAAAAAATGATTGAAATTCAAATTAACTTTTTGCAATCAATAAACGTAGAGAGAGAGAGACAAAAGCAAAAACTGATCATGCGTAGAAAATGCTGGCACAAAATTGGATTATCATAAATGAAATTAATTTTCCTTTTATTTATTGAATTCAGGGCTTCAATATGCTCGGTGCTTTGATACTGCAAGTCATGGAGAGAAGCGAAATTGAGTCGTTAAAAGTGATGATTTATCTCATCGAAGGTGTTTTACCGATGGGGTATTTCAGTGGTTCCATGCACGGTCTTCAAGCTGATATGGCGGTTTTTCGTGAAATTCTATCGACACGACTACCAAAACTATCGAAGCATTTGCAAAGACTTCAAGGCACCATCGGCGACAGTAATTCATTCACATTTTCTATTCCATTCATTTCAGAATTATACATCTTATTTTCATATAATCAACATATCACATTTTTATGAAAATTTTAGTCAAATTCGTGTTTCCAATTTTGTATATTCATGTTTATGTATTTATAAATAGATTCAATGGATCCTCCGCTCATAAACGTATTCACCATGCAATGGTTTTTGACACTTTTTTGTACATGTTTACCGAAAAGCTGTGTACTACGCGTGTGGGATTTGGTTTTGATTGAGGGAAGTGACATTTTATTACGTACAGCACTTGCGATTTGGGCCACAATTTCCGAGTAAGTATAAAAATAAACCATTTTTATGAATAATAAATGATTGATTTTATTTTTAAATTCGCATCAAATTGCCTAACAACCGTCTTCTTTTATTTTCATTAGGCGTGTCATGACGATAAAATCGGCTGACGAATTTTACTGTAAGATGGGCACATTATCCGGAGAATTGTTGAATGGCCATTTGTTCGATTCGAATAGTTTAATTCAACGAATCGTTGACTTGGGACCGATAGCCGATTTAGAAAAAATGCGCGAAAAACATCTATTCAATGTAACACCGTGGAAAGATCGCAAAGGAATGAAGTAGGTTAAATGCAAGGTTTTCGGTGGGGAAAATGTCACTTTCTTTTCAAAATTCCTTTCGCTGAAAATGAAATTGGATTTATTTGAAAGAAATCATACCTTTTCACTGCAATGACATTCATTGCAATTGATTTGAAATTAATGGCAATTTTTCTTATTCACTTTCGTTTCGCATAGAATTTTCTACTCTGACGACGATTCAGACGATGAAAATTGGAAAATATTGACTGGCTCACGGAAAACAAATGCTACAGTGAACCGTAATCAAATACCCGATACACGTGAACGCATAGCTCTAGATATTTCACTGTTAAAAAAGCAATATTCCAAAATACGTGCACGACAACGTCAAGGAAATCTAACGAATACGACAAAACAACAAACGGTGAATACGACAATAAGCAACACGAAACCGTCGAACATAAATCAATATTTAATCGGACGAAATGCGATAGTGAGCAGTAAAAAGCGTCATGGTCCATGTGGTGGTCAGGGCGCAGTGCCACCAGCTCGTACAGCGCTTCCAATGTCCGTTGCAAATAAGTATCAACAAAAGCGTTTACGAAACGCAACCATTGACAATGCAAGCACATCAACAATGAAAATTCGTAGCGATGACAATTCAAATGTACAAAAAACAAAAACGTTTGCGAGACATCGCAGCGAATCATCGTCGTATAGTGAAGACAGTGATAAAGGAAGCGATGATGAGCTGGACAATCGGATTTCGGTGGGATCAAGTAGTTCGAGCACAAGTTTATGTGATGATGATTATGGAAATGCGTCATCAATGGACGGCAGCCCAATGAAATCACGTTTACATTCATCCGCTTCCGATGACAGTAAAATGTCAATGCCCAAAGTCACTATTGGCGATGACTTCGAACAAACTACGTATACTCGATTTGATACAACGGACACGGACTATGATGGGAAAAATGCGTTGAAACGAGATAATAGCCTAGAATGTGACAAACCTAAATTGGAAATTCATACAAATATCGATCGTGAAAACAATGACATTCATTATGCAGTAAGTGATGATAAAGCGGAAAAAACGAAATTAGATTTATTAAGTTTGCCACAACGTGAACAAATTACCAGCACAAGTCAACTGTCACCCATTGCAGATATTTCGAATATTTTAAGCACATCGACTATCAGTCCATTGAAAACACCAACATCGTATCTATTGAATTCGTATCCGTTGTGCGAAACATCGGGCACCGATGACAATCAAGAGGATACGTCCGAAATCGATTTTAGCATCAATACGGGAAGTAGTGACAAAGATTTCTTTAAGGTTAACGAAGATGGTGTAACCAATGCCTATTTTGAACGTGTCAATCATGTGACGACACTCAGTATGGATTCAAAATTTCCGTTTTCATTCATCGAAGACACACCGGACCCGAATCTTGAAACAAGACTTTCGCGAAGTAGCCAAGAAGAGGACGATGACGAAGAAGATGATATGTCATCGTTTAAATCGGAAGTGCGTCGATTAAGTGACTCATTTGAATCGTCACTCATTTCCATTGATCATGCCAATAGTGATTTGACAAAGTCAAGCATTACCTCAAATTCAAATACAAATTCAGATGCCATTTTGAAAATGATTGAAGAAAATTCGAAAATTCTCGATCGAATTATGTGCAAAAATGCTCAAACTGCAGCCAAAAATATAACGTCCCTGGATGATGATAATGAAAAATGTGATGAAAACAAAACGGATACGAGAAATGAACCAAAACCGTCAATAAATGAAAATAAATTTGATTTAAGTAAAGATAATGACTCACCTGCTGCCCAAAGGGTACATCAAAAAGTTCCAAAAGTCGAAATTACATCAGAAGATGATTCCACGGCGGAAAAGAAGCAGTGTGTTGATGAGGAAATCAGCCCAAAAAAAGAGACAAAAATCACTGATGATGATCATGTGTTCAAATATGGTGATTTAAGTGATTGCATATCAAAATATTTGGTTAGTACAAATGAAAAGTCTGATAAGAAAACTTCATCGGAAGAGGAATTAATTGAACATGAAGAAAAGTTACGAAGAACCGATAACCTTGATTTACCAAAAACATTATCACTTTTGACACACAGCGACGGAAGTTCAGAGGATATAAAAAATCTATTGAAAGAATCTCTATTCGATTATAGTCGGAGTCCATCGGAATCACTGCCTCTTGACTCGAAACTGGAAAATGATTTAGAAACATTATTGAAAATGTCAGCCGAATTGTTGCGCGAAGGATTCCCATTGGGATCACCGCCATACATTGAAAACGAAGAAGCTTTGACCTTGGAAGATGAAGAATCCACAGACGCTTGTGCGGTTGAAACGAGTGCTATTACAACACAAGACGTGGAAAATGATGAAAAATCGGACAGTAATCGAAACTCACCATATTTAGATGCGGACGCATTGCAATTGGAAATGGAAAGTGTGGCTGGTGATATTTCAGCGACAATTTCCTCAATAAAAAATACCATAAAATCAATTGATTCCCTGTGCCATCAAGACGATGATCGTCGATCTCGTGATCGAACTGATAAAACACTGAACGACATTCTGAAGGTGGTCGAAAAAATGGATGAAGAAAAAGACAATCGTAAAATACAAGAGATAAAATCGGACCCAAATAAATCGCCTGCACTGTCAACAGTTTTCGAGCACGCTTCAAGAACTGATGACATTGCAGAGCCTCACGATAGTCCACGCATGGTTGCGAATTCGCGAATTTCACGAGATCGTAGTCGAATGACATCACCACGCCGAAGAAAAGACGATGACTTTGGCGAATATGAAAGCCGTGCTCGACGCAACAAATCACCGTCTTCGAGTATCTTATCACAAAATCGATATTCTGGCGATTTTTCGAGTAAATTTCGTTTTGACGACATCAGCAGTGGCAGTGACAGTGGTTCAAAAAGTAAAATTGGATCACCGTACAAAACAAATGAAAAGCTCGAAATTCGTCATACAACTGTCACAGCCACATTTTATGATCGTTTTCTCAGCCAGAAGTATGAGCAACAACACAAAATGGATCGTTCGCCGTCATCGCCGATCATCAATAAGGCGTATTTGAATTCACTGAAAGCAACATCTAGCTTGACTGCCTCATATCATGGTGGTGATAAATATCGACGTGATTCGAGATCAACATCGCCAATCATGTCCTACTCAAGTCAAAGTCGAATCGATGTAAATACAAAATATATGCCAACCGCACCAAAGTCTGGTTACCTGCATTTGCCACAATTATCGTTTAGCTCGATCCATCGCGATCAATGCACACGAAGCTGTGACAACATATTGTCGAATTTAAACGCCACCGCCGAATTTACCCAGAAGTATTCATATCAAACAAAAACGTCTTCAGACATATTCACAAGCAGCAGCCGCAGCAATATAAGCAACATCGACACCGACAACATCTTAAAACGTCATTCAACTGGCACCTACTATCAACATACATCACCATTACCAATCAAACCGAAGAAGCCTTCCGAAATCGGAATCAAATTGGGACTCTACAAGCCAGAGTAAAATTTTCAATAACAAAAATAGCATAAACTAAATGTTATGGCTTGAAAATGATGTTAACTATGAAAGAAATTGTATTGTTTAACAAATACTTTTCTTCCTCTTTGATCTTATGCAATTTTCTAGACATAATTGTTCGCTTAAATGTCTTTTCAATGAAATTAACTAAATTATTTTCATTATATTTCGTTTTTACACTGGCCAACATACATTTTCATTTCAGCACTCATTCACACAAAACATACCAAAGACAATTTTTCGAAATCATAGATTAGACATCTAGCTATTATTATTAAAACTTAAGAAACTCTCTTCCATTGAATATAAATTTCTATTTTCTCATTTATCTGAACACTAAAAATTAAAACATCATCACTCTAGTCAATCTATTTTGGAACATTTGAAAATTACAAAAAAATGCTTTAGATTTTATGTAGATTAGTCTAACATTTTCGTTTTCAACGTGTTAAATGAAAGATAAATGACAAAGGAGAAAGAAATTAAAGGAAATAATAGAAATTTGAGATTGAAAACACAGATTTTGATTGAAAATGTGCAATACAAAACACATTTGACGTACAAACAAATCAAATAAAACTATTGGACTTGAAAAACCAAAACGTAAATAGAAAAGTTTTTTTTTGTTTAAATTTGAAACTTTGTCAACCGATGAATTAATAAATGAGTTTATTCTTAAAATGAACTTTTGAAACCTCTGGCAAGAACCATGCTGATGAGCAATGAACAGCGCTTTCGAATGTTTCGCTTTCAATCAAACGAAAAATTATTCACCATAAAGCATATGCGAGAGAGAGAGAGAGAGGTTTGTGCAAGCTATATAGCATATAAAAAATATCAATATTCATTATTCATTTTATCAAAGAAGTTTGTATAAAAAGTGAGCCTTTTATGTGTTTGACGTCTCACTGAGTGTACAAGGTTCTTTTAATGAAATAAATTTTGGGTAAGTCATTCTCTCTATTGAATAACTATCGCTGCCCATTTCAAATTCGAAGTCGGAACATCGATACATAATCAATTTTATCAGTTATCTTTTTTGTGCTCATCTTTATGGAAGAAACTCGAAGATACCGGCGACGATGAAAAACTTAAAATGAAACGATTTCACGCAAATAGCATTCAATCATAGATGACCCAGTGATCGTGATTAAAAATAGCATTATTTGTTAAAATGAAGGCCCCAAACTGACAACAGTCAAATGTGTTTTCTTTTTCAAAAATAAAACATTTATTATTTGAGATAATACATTTAGTATTTGTATATACCATTGTAACCTCTTCTGTTACACTCAGACTCTAAAACAGAATTGCATAGAATTATAGGTCTTTGGCTTCTTCTACCGTATCGGGTAACTTTTTTCCTTGTGTTTCCGGCAATAGTAAGACTAAAAACGCTGCACAACCAGCAGCAAGCGTTCAGGATCGCATACATTTATGCGATACATTGAATGATGCATGCATCGTTTGATGCGAATCAAATAACGCAAACGCAACGCTAACGATGTCGCTGTGAGTACGGACCTGACAGCGCATGACGTGCTTATATGATACACGTAATGATGTGAATGTTCAATAAAGCAAGACCGTCGTGTGCTACTAGATCCGCACATACAACGACAGCGTTAGCGTTATTTGATGCGCATGAAATGATGCATGCATCATTCAATGTATCGCATAAATGTATGTGATCCTGAACGCTTGACCAGCAGTGACTCCAAAAAGTATGAATGGTAGAATCGGAGCACTGGTAATCTAAAACCGAATGAGAACAAATAATGTGTCAAATATCATTAGCGCAGTCAATAAAAAAACCCTATTCAAAACTCACCAGAAGCGTGGCAAATGACGCCGCCACTATACCCATTTTTCCGATCATAGAACACGAATTCATAATAATTGACCGTAGATTCGTGGGCCAAAGCTCAACTATAAAGGAGAAAAAGGTGCATATAACTTTGATGCTCTATTTAAGGTTGGAACCTAATTCGAAGTCACCTGTAAAGATTAACACTACATTGAGTGCAAATGTAATAGAAAATTTTCCAATCATAAACAGTATCAACACAATGATTGATTGCTCTCTCGGAATAATTTGTGTTATTATTGCAGATAATCCAGATAAAATCAATGAACAAAATATTAACTTTTTTCGACCGAATTTGTTAAGAAAAATGGCTGACGACAATGCACCATTGATCGCAACTGACTGAACAATAATAAAGCCTATGTACCTATAAAATAGAATAAATTACTATTCCGAAGAGTCTTAAACAACTTGTACATACCGATTCGTTCCTGGAATGTGAGTTGAAGTCAAACTCAAAACATAGAAACAGAAAAAACACGTAACCCACAGATAGCCACAAATCAAAAAACGTAATCCAAGTTTAATTACAACCAGTTTAATTTGTTGAAACATTGATAGATTGTTTTCATTGTGGTCTGCATTTAATTTCTTTGTGGCATTGATTTTGCTATTGGATGAATATTGCAAACGCAGTGCTTTAATTGAATTTTCGTTCAATGTCCCTCGATTTACTTTGGCCATTCGCTCAAGAATTTTTATGGCGCGATCAACGCGACCTGTCGCTAAGAGCCATCGTACACTTTCCGGAACCAGCCAAATATATAGAATCACAAATAATCCGGGAGCATAAATGGCCCGAAGCAAATAACGAAAATTATGAATGTACATTGCAAGCAAGCCTAATAGTATGCCGCCAAAAATACCAAATGCATTTAATAAAGAAGTGCACAGTGGACGTTTTCGAAAACTTGACATTTCAATAACAAGTATAAAAAGTGCATTGAAACTACTTCCACCCGCTAATGATTCAAGAAATTCCAGCTGAAAATACTATTATAAGTTTTATTCAAGCATAGAGTTTTTATAAAGCAAGTCACTTACTACAATGTACATTGTATAGTTCACCGAAAATGACTTGATCAAACCAAATGTACTGCAACATAGCACGCAACATATAGCCACTCGTAGTCTTCCAAATCTAATTTTTTTAAAATGATTTTAATGTAATGACCAATGTTAAAATATGTACATGAAATAACTTGTCTGCGAGTGCGCCGACGATCGGTAAGAGTGCAAGTCTCCCAATACTGTTTGCGGATCCGATCAATGCGAGTTTATAACTATCATCGCAATGAATATTAAACTAAAAGCAAAATGTTTGTTTAAAACTAAAATTGTTTGGAGAATTAAATCTGCGAAAAAACCTCTGTTTGAACATTTATTTCATCTGTTGTATAAATAAATTCCGTGCATCCAATCAGCTTTGTTGTGTTGAAACTATTGGCATCACATTGATTTTCTAGTGACGAACTTGATGCATAACGAAAACACTTCTCATAGCCATTGCTTGTTAGTGGAAGTGCGTATTTAAGCCACGGTTGATCATAGCTTATCTCACGATTGTTATCACCTAAATCACATTCAGACACTTTGCACCTACAAGAAGATAAAATTACAACAAATTTTCACTTGCAACATATACAGATGATTTTTCACTAAAATACACTGACCTATACTCAAGTGAGTTTGAAGCGAATATACACGTATAATTCAACATACACGTTGAAGAAATCATGTACAGAAGGCAAATAAGAAGAAGAGTAAGTATTTGAGACAAACCAATGTCTCCAAGTTCCAAAAAAATTCCCTCCAAATGATCATCGGCTCCGATATCGATTTTCATTTTACAATGTAATTTGATCACAAAATCTCGAAAAGTATTCACGATGTATTCACACGCAAAAAAAAAGCAAACTGTGTCTTATCGTTAAAATGCTCTAACATCTATTCTATACTTTAATGTTTAATCTTATCAATTTTTACAATCAACCGTTTCGTTTTTATAGACATTTTCACGTAACTTTTATCCTATTAATATAAGTACACAAATTTTGTATCATATTTCAAAACTCATAACAGGTTAATTATCAAACGAGCACATTTTCACTGATATTTTATTCCGTTTGTAGATATTAAAAAGCCCTATTTTTTATTGGATTTAAAATTACATTTTTGTACTTGGTATCATACATGGAGGGTGTAAGTCAATAGGTATCAGCCGAGTATTTTTTTTTTCAATTTGCTAGGAGTTTTTCGCAAGAAAGCATGCAGTGGAAGCAACTTGAGTTTATGTAACACAATCGACGCGAGCGCCCTCAGTTCCAAAGGGCACATCAATGCAATTTAACAATTCAAATCGAAACTAAAGAGAGCGCCAAATTTAAAGCTTAGTGTTATTTCCACTGGATACCTCTCCTTAATTTTTGTTTGTACCCATGTATATTTGTACATGTTTGTATATGTATATGTTTGTACACAATAAAAACGTTAAAAACAATACAACGTGCGCTGCGCTGTGTGTATTCGTGGCCTATTTATTCAATTTTGGTGTATCAGCATCAGAAGTATACACTCTGTCGATAATATTTTTGATATTTCAAACGGCTCTTTTTAATTCGTACACAGTTCAAACTAATGGAAACAAAAAGACTTTGCGGCTTGGATTTGAAAACGAATGGGATTTATTCATTTATTCTCTTTATGCATCACTCTGGTATGGGTTTCGGGAAATATTCAAGAGACATCTTCGGACTATGCATTATCGATTTTTCATACGTTTCAAAGGATTTCAATGTGCTTCTGTACGTTTACGTTATTATTTTATTCAATTCATATGAGGGTTAATATTATTTGATCTTCTATTGACTGCATTTTGAACTCTTGTTCTCTGATTTTGGGAAATTTCGATTTTGTGACATATATTGCGTGCGTTTGCAATAAGTATCGGTGACTCTAAATATCTATTTAAGAATACTTAATAAATCAGATTGCGAAGTAACCATCGCTCTAAAGTGTCATTTTGTTTATCTAAAAAAAGAAGTATAGAATAAGGAATAATTTATTTATCAAAGCAATCTAAGTGAGCAAACACGACTATTAATCAATATTTTAGTTTTTGAAAAAAGGAAATTTAAGTTTAAAGATATTATCTAAAAAAGTGACCACAATGAGTGACTCTACTGAATCATACGAATCGGCTGTACTATTTAGTCCACCGCAAACACTCTTTCGCAATTCGGACGATTCTGTTTCATCATATTCTACCAATTATTCAAGTATTTCAGTATCATTTGGCGCAAATCGACCAGATTTTACGGACATGTATGAAGTTTCGAAAATAATCGACGATCGATATGATGAGAATGGAGAAGTAATTTAAAAAAAATATATATATTTTCAAGTATTAGTTCTAAGCCGATGATATTTCTAATAGTTGGAATACCTGGTGGAGTGGAAATACATTAAAACCGATAAAGGGAATCCAATGAGGGAATGGGTTAAATCTTCCAAGTGCAATTGTCCGGAAGTGATTTTTGATTATCAACATACTTTAGGTGTATGTTTTTGGTTAACACGTATACGTAAAAGTCACTGATCACTTTTGTTACAGAATTGGGACTTCGAATACGAAATAGAAGCCGTGATCGACTCATTTATAGTTAAGCAGGGTTATAGGGACAGTGTAAGTATCAATCCATTCTATTTCAGGTCCTAGAACTGCAAGAATATCATATTGCTATAACAATAGCTAAACCGTAATCATGTGGCATAACATGGTTTAGAAAGTGTTTGCGTTAGGAAATATTACACATCTTCACTGTCTATTTTTAGATTGAGTATTTGGTTAAATGGAAAGATAATCCAGTGAGCACAGAAGAAAATCCAGTAAAAATCATCAATGAATATTCGTGGGTGAAGAAAAAACACATGAAATCAGCAGAAAAAGCAATCAAAGAGTTCGAAAAGAGAGGCGTTCAAGACTTTGGTGAAAGTAATTTTCCAAAATAACAAAAACTATCAACATGTGCTTCATTAACTGATTTCCATTTTCAGAACTGAAGGTCGACAGAATTCTTAGTGAAAATACCGAACTTCCAATCGTAAGTAAAATTCCTCGTTAAAAATGTAAATTTCAAGAATATTTTTTTACATCAACTTGTTCAAATCTTACAGAAATACTTCCAGATTAAGCTCGCAAATTCTGATCAGCCGGAGAAAAGATATTATAGCGTCGATGAGGTTTATCTTATGCCAAATGGACGTAATGCAATATGTTCATTTCACAAAGGATTCGGTTTAATAATTCCTGGAAAAACGGGAAATCGAACAATTTACTAACCAATCGAAGTATCTTTTGAAATGCATATGTGAAACAATTGAACTGCCTTCAAAAAACTTATTGACATATAAATAAAACGAAATTGATCTGTTCGCATTGAAAATGTTTTACAAAAGAGGGTTAAAATAATATCAGACACAATAGTTGAACCAAAAAAAAAAGCTAGATGAGGTATTCCAAAGATCATTTCCACTCGTTAAATTTATTGGAATGGAATCGGATACGGAGTGAAGACGTTGGTGTAGTTATCACTTATCTAATAATGTCGATTGCGTTTCGGTAGAGTTGAAACTTTTCTTAATATCTTCGATATTTTGTGTAAATCATTGAAATACTTGGTCTGATCCTTTGCGATCATTTTTGAGAATCGTTACCTTTTCTACCTTCAAAATGACAAATATTTCTTTGAATTGTACTCATTTGACTAAATTTTGTTACAGTTATAGTCTTTGAACAAATGGTAAAGTCATACTTACAATTTCTTAACGTCAAAATTCATTCAATGTTCGAAATGTATCCGAAATATGAAATAATTCTTATGGTTAGCATTCGCTAAAATTGAAAGACATGTCAGTTCAGTTTAAATTTTATTTATAATTGTATATGTTTAATAAGTTTGTAATTTTATTCAATTACATAATATATCTCAGTAATCAATGATAGAACCATTCTTTTGAAATTATTTCGGTTTTGTGTCGCTTGAAGTCTTCAATAAGGTACACATGTCTTGTGTTGTTTTTATTTGAATTTTTGTTTTGTAATTATAATTCAGATGATAATATGAAATGTTCGTTTTGTCAAATGCCAGATACTTGCCAGATTCTACTTGAAATGTGTGATTTTTCGTTTGTTATTCCTTTGTTAATATAGTATGTGCATTTTTGTGTATTTGTGTGTGTGCAATCAATCTAACAACTATTCTATTTGCCATCCTATACAAGTGTGGCGTGTATATATTATTGTGACTGATGCTATAATTTTTTGTTTGTTTGTTTGTATGTCTCTTCAATGTTTATGAAATATGTCGTTCTGATGTGGGTTCGTTTCATTTTGTAAATGTCTCATGATTTTTCTTTTATACATAATAATAATTTAAAGTATTTTTAAATCGATATAAATATTTCTCAAATTTAAAAGAAAAGCAAAGTATATTTGTACATAAAATCGAAGAAGAAATTATCGAACCTAACCAAGTAAGCTTAAGAGAAATGATATTAAAATTGTCGACATTTCGAAAATCGAAATGAAATGCAGAAAATATTCTTACAATCATGGAAATATGAATATTGAATGGTGTCTTTGGTGATCAATAAATCACCGAAGGCGACGTTAATTGCTTTTCAAAACTCCTCACTCCGATCAGGCGTTGCGAATTTGTTAATTCCTTACACTAAACTACGTTTTTCTTATGAAATCGGGAAATAAATCAACTGATTTGTTGAACAAATTTCGGGAATGGGAAATAAATCGACGATGAAAAATGATGGAAAGAATTGTCGTTTGTGTGCGGAAAAAAACGTTTGGATTCTTTTAAAACAACTCTGGGATATAGTAAGGAATTTGCATTCGAATTTCGAATTATTGTAATAACCGAATAAAAATAAAATCAACAAACTAAATTTAACATAAACCTGATGGCAATTATTAACATTTCATTTATAATTCAAGATTTGTTTAACCATTTAATATTTGTTACTTTTTTAACAATAAATATCGGTGTACCGTTCTTACTATCTATCTAATAGATTACCAGTAATATTATCTTTGCTACGCATTTGCTGAATAATTTAATTTGTATTTTATAATTATTTGTAATTCAGACATCGTATCCAGAGACCCGTCAGCATCTTTCTCCCTCTCTCTCTGTGTGTTTTTGTTCTTTTCAGTTGTTTATTGTATAATCTTCATCATTAAAAGTACAAAGACACAAGTTAGCCCATAACAGTTGTTCATTGGAATTTCGTTAGATGCAAAAAGGGTAAATTTGTTTGTGTCTGTTACGATAGTGCGATATTCTTTGTGGCCCTTTTTTAAAGAGACATGCAGATTTGAATGCATATTTTTCTTAACTATATTTATTTAAAAAGTTTTCTCATATCTTTTCATCATATTGTCATTTTCGATATTATTTTGGTTTCACTACACATACATGTTCGTGTTTATTGAAGTTTTGTTTTTCTGATTTAGAAACAGCGAAAATCTCAACTTTTAAAACGAATTTCAGAGATCAGATAGAGAAGAAATTACATTTAAAACATCAAGTTATCAACTTCAAATCAAAACGATTAAATATAGATTATTTTTTTAAAGAGAAATTGGATAGAGTTTTCTTTGAACAACATTTAGCAATATATACTACATAAAAATACAACACAAATTGAAACATGTTGAAACAATTTGGTGTTTTTTTCTGACTTATCAAGGATGTAATGTGGTTATTTCCTTTTTTTGATTATTGACATTGTTAATAATTTAAGCAAAACATATGGGCGACCAAACGTTTGAAGAAAGATCTTCTTTTACAAGAGCTCAAATCGTTGTACTGTGCGAGTCACCATTCAACATGTAAAGCATTTCACATAATATAATATTAATTATAAGATCCCTTGGCTACCTCCTTTCGTCGGATTTGTTCGAACAAAAGATCTTTAAAATCAATTTAAATCGAACGTAATCATTATAAGTTTTAATATTAATAATTTTGTGAGTGTTTTTTTGGTTGGTTATCAAATATGTTGAAATTTCTTTTCTTTTTTTGATCTAGCATACGATTAATAATAATATCATAATTTTGTTTATTATATATATTATTCCTTGTTCAATGTCCTAATAAATAATTTTGTTGAAGTTGGTTAGTCGTGTAAATGGTTTTAGTCATTTTAATTAAAATAAAATCAAACAAAATAAGCACTGAAATGTTCTATGAAACCAAGAAACTTCAGAGGCTACATATTTCTATATTATTCTATAATTCGAAATAAATATTTATATTAAATGAAATACATCAATAGCAAAACGAAATGCATAATATTTCGAAGCTAATAATATTCATCAAAAATGTGTATTTGAACCCAAAAAAGACATACTCTTCTTAAAAATAAAATTATATATTCATTTTAAACTGTTTCAAAATGCTTATTTCAAATCGTAGTCATCGTCATCGTCATCGTTGAAGATTTTACTGCCGCTAATGTATGTTGATGAAAAACTGGTGGCAGTTTCGGGGATAGTCGATGATGCTGTTGTTGATGCTGTTGTTGTTTTAACCGGTGAATCAAAATCTTGGAATGCAGCGTTATTAATCCCTTCATAAATGCGATACGATGTATTGACCCGTGGATCGTTTGCAAAATCACCGTTTGTATCCGAAGATACGCTCAAACTGCGATTGAACGATGACATACTTCGATTTGATTCATAAATTGATTTTGATGCATCAACTGTGCTTGAATTATTGCTGCCAAATTGTGATCGCCTTGATGGTGGGTCCAGAGTATCGCTTGAACCAAAAATGATCTCCGAATCGGACATCGAACCGGTCGAGTATTTGGATGTTTCAAAGGCATATTTGGCAGCATTTGCGCGTTGACTGGATGAAACAGTTTTCGATGTGATTGTGTCTGCCGGCTTTTTTCTCGAATAGTCATCACTTGCGGTGACACTGTAATCGGCTTTTGTCAAATCACTTCCAGTGGCATATGATATGGTAGTACTACCAAGTGCTGAAGTTGTACTTTTTACATCACTGTCACTTGAGTATAAACTGGAGCTCGTTGTTGGCGCTCCGTATCGGCTAGTCGACTGAATTGTTGTTGTTGTCGCTGTAGCTCCTTGATATTTATCGTACCGATTTTTCGTTAGATCATCCAATGTCGAACCGCTTGCGCTGCTCGTGTATGACGATGTCACCGAAGAGGTGGATTCAAATGTCGCTGTTGTAGATGGTGTCACATTTGATGCCGTCTTATTTTTATCAAATGGATTTATACGTTCCGATGGGTTTAACGTATTTGTTTGGAATTTGCTGTAGCTTGCGCTAACCTGTGTTGGCCCCATCGAGGCGCTTAAAACGTTGGAAGAACCTGAAGATGCATTTGTATTTGTATCGATCGTTGTACTATCCAAATTAGAAGTAAAATCACTTTTAACCAAATTATTGCTATTTGGAATGGTTGCGGTTTTATTTATTTGATCATATTTAAAAACACTGCTTGATGTGGTTGATGTGACTGATGAGGGTGTTTGATTCTGTGACTGAGCTGATACTGATGTCAACGAACCAGTATCGCTAGTCCTTCCACGTTTTTTGCCAGCTAATTCCTACATGTCGCCAAATATTCCAGCGAAAGTTTTACGCAAATTTTTCATCGTATCCTCGGCATCTTCGACCACCGATGTTTGACTGGTCGGTGCTGCACGTGACGATGTCTTTGAACCGGTTGATGTTTGCGAAGCTGAAATGATTTTTAATGTAACATTTTGATTTAAAAGCAATTGTATTTTTGTTTTGTTAAATTCTTCTTTTACCTGCCGAATCACGACGACCAACACTTGCCAAAGTTGGAGCACGTTCAGTGGGCTCTGGTGGTAAGTCAGAAGAGACACTGCTCAAGCTGCCGTGACGACCAATTGATCCTGGTCCGGGTGTTGAACGCTCCGGAATTGGTGGTGGTGCACCCGAAATTGACGAGCCTCGTGAATAGCTTGCAGTCGGCGGAACGGCCGGTGCATTCTCTTCAGATGGGCTACCACGCGACGATGATGATACAGATGGACGCTGCGACATTTTTTGACCACCCAATGGTGGGCGACAGACATTCTAAAGAAATTACATTTTAGCTTCTTCAATCAATTGTGTCAATTTCATTTTTTTTACAAACCTGCATGCGTGTCACGACGATATCGGCAATGTGGCGACGATCATCTTCTTGTGTATCTCCCATGAGTGTCAATGTACTATCACAAGCCGATACAATGTACTCTTTTCCATCTTTTGCAACGACAATCGATAAACCGCACACTTCCATTCCGTCAAACAACTCAGAAACCTGTAGAACAATTCATTTCACACAAAATTATTTTCTTTTTTTTTATTTTTTTATTATCCGAATGATTTGAAAGTTGTACAATAAAACTTCATTAACTACACAATGTAAATAAAATAAGTGATCAATTATGTGACTTTGCTGGAATGAATGAATACGATCTGGTGCAATACAATAAAATTATCTGACGTTGGAATAAAAATGTCGAAACTATTTGTTCCGGGATTGTTTATTATATGAATTGTGTGCCGTTGCTTGTAGTTTCTAAAAATTGTTCAACAACATTTATGCAAATAATTTGGTTGAAATGTATGGCAGTCGCGAGATGCAACGTCGGACTTAATTAAATTGCAAATTTATAATGCACACTCGGTCTTAAATTGATGAACAAATATTATAAATAAATATCACTTAAAGGTCAACATTTCCCACTCATTTCTGTCATATTAATTGATTAATTTATCATCGAATCGATCACAATTTAACACAAAATAAATTAATTATAGAATCAATTGTTCAGAACCTAAGTCAAGTTCGTTTTAATAATTTACAAGGTGTTCGAAATTCCCGGTAAAATATCAACAAGAGAGAGAGAGAGAGAGAGAGAGAACTGCGTCAGAGTAAAACGCATTTGTAAAGTGACATCATTTGTTGATCGAACATAGCGCATCTAATTTACATTTTATTGCTATGGATACTAAAAAGTGTCAAAGTAATAAAATCATGAAATCCATTCACTTTGTGAACATTATCCACAAATCAATTTCTTCCATTCGCTTTTTTTATCTTTTTCTCTTTTTCGATTTTGTTTTTCTTATTTCTTCAATCTATTCTCTATCTCTCAGAGAAAAATCCAATATCCAATGCATTCGCATCATTGAAATGCATCAGACATTCGTTTTGAAAAATTATTCTGCAGACAATTGAATTTGATGACATCATCAAAAGTGTCCGTAGTACGGACTCCGTACACATCATAATATATTTTTTTTCCATCTCGTCTTTTGCCGTATCGTATTGAGTAATAAGTAAATGGTAATAACCATTGAAATTGCATTTACACGTAATACATTTGATATACATACAAAACGACTCAATCGAAGCGCCTCTCACAAAACCAAATTTGGAATTTCTGTTTGCATTTTACACGGCATGACAGCAAAACATGATAATGTAATTTCTTGCTAATCGATCCCGTCACATTTGTTGTATGTCACAAGCGCGGCATGCTTATCGACTACGTCACCAACATGTACAAGTGAGTAAGTTTTACTAATTTGTCGATTAACGCGAAATGACATCATTCGATTCAGCATGCGTTTGTTAAATTAATGTCGGTAAGTGCGCATGCGTTCCATCGAAAGAATTCGAGAAATATGCGTACGCCATTTAGCGTAGCGTGAATATTTTGTGCTGTAAACAATGAATTCCTTGGCACACCGATGCCGAACAAAGCGTATGAAGAAAGAAATGACGACGATCAGTGTTTTGAATTGGTGTTTAAAATATTCATGAATACATTGCGTGCACAGCATTCGTGTTTGGATGTATACTTACGTCGTTAATCCAGCTCTTGTATTTTTCGGTCATTGCAATTTGTTCCAGCTGTAAATACAAACGAAATATGAATATAAATGAAAATTCAGCAAAATATTCAAACCGAAACCATACCATTGCCGATCCTTGATTGGTTTTCCAATTGCCTGAAATCGACTTGCGCCTGCAATGAAGAAATCAATTAAGTTGGTATGAAAAATAAAAAATAAAACCAATTGTAACGGTTGAAAAGTCAATAAATGTGAAATGAAGCCCTTAATGTGATTGATATATTCTCACATTTACTCCTCAATTCATAATGTGAAACGTGTTGATTTTATTTGTTGAAGCGTGTTTTTTAATGACTTACATGAATGATTTGTAGTTGTTGCCAATTTTCTGAACGTGCACATCAAATTTAGCGTCGATAAATGGTTCCAATGTACAGTAGCATTGAGTGTCTGCAAGTCCAGAACCACTTAGCAAACCAGCTGCATCCTGCAATGAGCTCGCATTTTCAATTTTTGCCGTGGCTGTCCCGCCATGACAGTGACCAGCTTTCAATACATACGGATACTTTTGCTGCGAAAATTGTTGCGAAAACTGTTGTAAAAAATATCGGAACGGAAGAGAGAGAGAGAAAATGAGAACCAAATTACCATTTTATTGGATTTCTTTAAATCGTTTTATGTTTTTAGCACACATATATATATTTTTACTCGTTTTGGCATTGATGAACCATTCATATATAATTAGATTGAGTTGATGTTTTTCACGAGCTAACAAAATAAGCGTAAACATGATTACTTAAAAACACCATACACACCATTGATTTATAACTATTTTTAACTTTAACGTATATTTTCGATCGGGTGGTCGAATGTCGAAACAACAGAGAACAAAAAAAAAAAATAGAAGAGATGAAGAACAAATTGCAAATGAACCTGATTCATGCGGACATAAATCACAGAAATTGCATATTTCGTGTGAGAACGAGAATGAATGCGCAATTTGTGTGTCGAATTTTGTGCATGCATTTTACGAGATAGATAAAGAGAGGGAGAGAGAGGTATAAGACACTTTGCTACATTTCCATAGCTTACAAATTTGCATTCAAAACATACATTCTCGTCGACTGGCATATCAAATGGCTTACTCATCGGTCGGAAGGATTTGTTTTCCCATTTTCCGAATTTCCGACGAACAATTCCAATTAAAAACACTTATTAATGGCATTGAAAATTCTCTAAATATTTAAAAATGGTTTAATGATGTTATTTTGAATGATTTTCACGGAAGTTCGACTATGTTGAATAATTTACATTCATATAAGTTTTCGGAATCATCAGCATTTGCCTTGAACGAGATTACTCATTGCCAGACGATTTGCTGTATTTTTTTAGCGGCAAAATAATTAACACGTCGCACGTGTCTGTGACCGCGTGATGAATCAGCTGAAGAATTTAATGGATTCATCGAAGAATAAGACGCTTAAAATTCGTTTAAACATAGCAGAATGATCTAGCGCAACGCAAATATTCGAAATGTGTGGAATTATATAAGTTGAACATTTTTCAAACTTCTCTCGAACCATAAACATTTCTAAAAAAAATCCTCATAAATGCGATGACTTTATTCTAAAAAATGTTGTACTTACGTCATGCATATCATACTAAAAACCACTCGTCCATGTACATGGTATTTGTTTTTCATTAAACAATATGCTTGTCATTAAACCAAAACCACATACATGGGTTGAACAAACAATGCAAGTTTATCCATATGACGTGAACAAAAACGCACTTTAACAACAATAAAGAAAATATATCTTATAACTGTATGGATGCATAAAATTGCGACTAATATGACACCGGTGAAGTTGTATATGGCCAAACAATGGGCAATTATTTCATTGTGTAACACTTAACGAAGGTTCCGTGCCAAAAACGGATAAAATCCCATTTGCAATGGTGTATGCATTATTTTGCAAGTAAATTGAGTGCGCACCGTAGCGAGAAAATGAGAGAAAGACTGCATCAATTGCGTCCCATTATTATCAGCAGTCGTTTGTAATGCAAAGATTTATAGACATACGGCAATTTATTGGTTTTCGATATGCAAAATAAATCCATGCGATGCATTTTGCAAATGAGACAGTGCCACCAAAAAAGAGACAAACACACTCACTGTCTAAAGGCACTTAAAATATTCGAAGTCTCTCAATATATGGAGTTGGCATCATTAAATTCTGACGTTTGGGGATTTTGTTTTTGTCTTAACACCACCGCTTTTCTTTTCATCTTCTCGAATAAATGAGTTGAAGAGAAAATCGATATTATAATTTTGTCTGATTGCGAAACCCGTCGTAGAAAATTGTTTTTCTATTAATAACGCGGCCACGGTTCTACGAAACATCATAAACAATTTTTTTGCGTGAAATATGAACGTTTTGAAAAATACCGAAAAATAAAAAAAATATGAAAACAAGAACGGAAATTTGTACGTCTGCCAAAAGTGTTCGCGAATGAGAAATGGTCGAGATGAGAGCTCACAATAAATTGGAATAAATGGAAAGATTTACGAAACAAAAGAAATGTGTCGTTGATTGATACGGAATATCACCTTTTAACCATTTCGTGTTCACTTTCGGATGCACACACACACACACACATTAAATTGACAAAAATCACGAGCCAACTGAATACGAAACCTCATTTTAAAATTGGTTTCTAGAAGCGACGATACTGAGTGTATGCATTCGATTTGTACGATTGTTGTACACAATTCACTCCTACACAACCCACTCACAAAATAATAATCACATCAAATCCAAGAATTAAGTAATAAAATTGAATAAGCTAAGCCATAGTACGACCGATAACAACAAAAATGTCGCTAAATAAAATGAGTTTAAAAAAATCACTATCGAATTTGGAGTAATATGGCTCACTTTCTGGTGTGAGAAAAAAGAAAACCGAAAGAAAACGCGAGAATTTCATCACACAAATCAAAGTAATTAAACTTTATTTATATCCATTTGCATATCAGCATATCAGCGCACACTTGGTGGTGATAATAAATTGATTAATCCGTCACGCCGCTATTCATCATGTCAAACGATGGTGTTCCAAAAGCGGTCAAAGCTAACACCACAAATCAATTTGCAGTGCACGTTCGATGACAACGTGATTTTAACGTAAATGCGACGAAAAAAAACCTCAACACGCATAAACAAAACAAAAAAAGGGGGAGACGCTTTGAATTATGAATGATCACATCGCTCATTCAAGTAGTAAAAATAAAAATGACTCGAGCAAAACAGAAACGAGGAAGATAGTAAGAAGAACCTTTTTCTCTCTTCACAGGGAGAGAGAGAATGAGATCAATTTGAGTACGATGAGAACATCGAATGAGTTTAGTACATGCATGCGTTCTCTATCTTTCAGTTCTCTTTTGCCTCTCCGGACTTTGAAAAGAAACGAAGAACGGCACACACACGCGGAACGAGAGTCAGCAATCACACATACGCTCCTGAGACGTTAACGTTTGCGCGTAAAAGCCTTTTCATATAAAACTTAAAATCACCGCAACAAGCAGCTAGTTCGTTTTAAGACAGCACAGCGATCGTTACAAACGCCACGAGCGTAACCACTTTGATTTTCGAAGAGAAAATACATTTTGATTTATTAAAACGTAAATGAAAAAGAATTAAATCGTTTCGTGAATTGAATAATGCAGTGAAATCAATAATTTTTTTTAAGTTTTGAAGTGAAAACACGATTCAATTAAAGTAATTGACATTGCCAATAGAGCTGATAAAGTGAAAACGAGCAACATCAAAATTGCTGACTTTGAGTGTAAAAAAGTGTTTGATTTCTACAATTTTTGTGACGAACAGTGTCCATTTCTTCTGTGTAAGCCTTGTTTACATGTTTTCCATTAACAAGAATTAATTGCGGAAATATTGAATTAAACAGAATTTCATGTGCTGACTCTTTCTCAATATCGATTCATACAATCAAGTATAAAGTGCCAACAATCACATAAACTACAGTTACTGAACCAAGTCAATTGTGTAACGGATTTACATTTAAACACCATACATCAGATAAAATTAGATGAAAAACGACGAAACACCGAAAACAACAAGTGTCTTTGTGTAACGAATACAAGAGAGTAGAGCACAAAATCGTAAGTAATTTACACAATTAACAAGCTTATTCAAACAATTAAGAGAAAAAAACTCATGTACTATTTGGGATGTGCATGTTTATCAATCAATAAACACTCTCTTAACTGTATCTTGTTGCTCGAATTCAATCATTTAACGCCGCACACAATGTTAAATCATTGATGCGGGATTGCATTATTTTTGGTATATTAAATTATATTATTTATCTCCGTCGAACATTTACTTGCTATTTATATCTATCGTTTCTGTCGTTTTTTCAAAAAATACGCTTTGCCTTGCAGCTGAGAATTGAGAAGAAAATAAGCGCGTACACTTTGTACAAATGATCTTAAATGACCCCCATTAAAACGGCATTTCTCAAATACTCTCAAGATTTATTTACATTTATGAAACGGAATTATAATAACGAACAAGATACTCTGAACCTTTTAAGAATTTATTGGCATTTGTTTTTATTATAGCTACTGGCTGGAAGTGATTCGATCTGTGCAAGGCAAACCTAATTTGCATTTATTGAATGAACAAAAAAAAGTAACATTCATTTTCGAGAGAGAGATTGCTGTCATTGTTCAGCTGTGGCATGACAGAGACAGAGAGCTGATGGCGATGAAAAACTAGAATAGATTCATATAATTTGATATGCAAAACTTGATTCAAAATTTCCATCTAAATGAACAATTCAATGCAATTATTGCACACGAAATAACTATGGCCTATTCTAATAGAATTGATTCCGTTTGTATGCAACGAAAATAAATTTTCGTGTAGCACTTTGCAAAATTAATCACAATTCAATATAAATTGAATACCAAAAAATCAGCTCGCAAACACCGAACGAAGCTTTAAAAACATGCTGAATATGGCATAATGCAAATGCAATATTCGCCTTTGGTTCCCACTCAAAAGGTGCATGATTAAATCCAATAAACGAATTCATATGTAATTTTAACTGTCACATTCAGTTGTGAATTTATCACGGTTTGCCTGCAAATGCTGAGCAATGCGTAAATTTCGTTTAATTTTTGTGTTTTGTTCATTGAAATTTGTGTCTGTATCGTGACTGTATCGCCATAAGCCGTTCGAAATATTTGTGTAAACACGTCAGCATTAGATTACTTTTTGATAATATCAAACCGATGTAAAGCATACATTTATATTAATCTGACTTCATTTAGGCTAGTTTTTGCACAGAGATTTATCAACTTGTCATGTGTATGTATGTGTGTGTAATGAACCTGACAAAAAACTGCACAAATTAAATGAAAATTGATGTGAAAAAAACTGCAAGCGAATAATTAAATTACAAAACTTGTGCTTCGACACAAAAGAAAACACAAACAGCATGAAAAAAAAGAATGCAGGTCAAACATGCTGACAATCGAGTAAGAAAAAAAGTTGTTTCTAAGTTAAGTTCGGCGTGTTTTGGATATTTTTCATTTTTAGATTGTTCCAACTTCGTTTTTCTTTCGCGTGTGCTTCGATTCAAAAGATAAACAAGACGAAAATTTCATGGCTCAACAAATTCAAAGTAAATTATAGATTCACCAAGTGTGACTGCAATAGTTCACGTAATTTTGCACATCGTGGGTATCAAAAATTGAAATCTGGTACAGTGTCTGTAGACGCAGGCATTTTTATGAGTGACGTTGACATGGCGTGATAAGAATTTTTGAAAAGTCACCTCATTTCCATTTCAACATCGTTTTTTTCTTGCTTCTCTTCTCACACATTTCGGATTTTTTCACACATTCCAACATTCTGAGTGGAAATGCCAACACATATAATGGCATTCACAAATCCATCTCGGTGTTGTTGATTGATCGAATTGTATCCTTTTCATTTGCTTCCACATTAACAAAAATGAACTCATTTACCTTTCTCTCGACCTAGAAATTATCATGGTTTATTGTTAAAGTCACAACACCATTCGCTCCTTTTAGTTTATCTTACATGAACAATCTATTTAAAATGTTACGTGACAAAACGTAAGTAAAACAAAATCATTGGGTGACGATGACGACGTTTTGGGTTTCGTTGATGGCAAGAAATGCTGAAAATCACAAAAACCTCTACGGTTATTGTTATTGGATGCTCTTATTTTGTGTTGGATGTTTGTTTTGTGGCCCGGGTGCCTTTCTAGTCTAGGTAAGTGCACGCATTTATGCTTTGTCGTTCATCGATGTTTGTTTACTGTTTCGACGACGACACAATTATATATATAGATCCGAATCGAATTCGTAAAAAAGGTCATAACAAATATTCAAACTGAAATGAAGAAAGTCGTGGGAATTTTGTGATTTACATACACCATTGTGGGTTTCACTTTATGACATTTGATATGCGAGTTTTTGTCTGTTGCTTTGTTATTGTTTTGCTTTTTGAATGCGCCTTTATGCATTTGGAGAAATTTATGAATCCCAAGATTCTTCATATCACTATCAGCGCATTTCTTTATTATTATTCTTTTCTTTCTTCAGTTTGTTTCTGTGCGCCAGCACATTATATTTTCTTACCGAACCGAATCATTGAAATCAGACCAAATTTTATCGTACATTCAAACGAATATATTTGTGTTGGCTCATTTTTTTACGGTTCCACTGTTATTTCCGTATTACACACAATCACAAAATGCTCAACTGCAAGTAACATACTAACTCTGAATGGCAGTTGATTTTTATTCTGTTTTGCGGTCGGGTATTTACTGATTGGTGACCCAGTTATGTGCATAAAATGCAATAAATTTTTTTTATTGCAAGTACTTGATAGTCTTATAACTTGGCACACAGCGGCAAACATGTACAGACTTTAATTAAAACAATGACTGGAATGAAACCATAGAAATGTACATACGAGCGCACTAAGAAAACACCGAAATACACTAAATGTCGACCGTCGTTTTTTCGCTCTTTATCTCTCTCTCTCACTTGTCCTCTGTCGTCAGAAAATAAATTTTTCCTCGTCCGTCGCAACTGAGATGCTGCATAAAGTTCTAAGTGCACTCAATCTCGTGTTTGTGTCATGTGCGCACGCTTGACTGGTTGCACTTGATGTTGTGCATTACAAAGTGGTACGAAAGTGAGTTAAATCTCTTGTTTTAAAGTCGATCTATTAGCTGGTTTCATTTCACAGACGGCAGTTATTATTAATATTACTTTTTGATTTACGCTTTTCTACCACTTTACACACGGATCCTATTTAATTTATCACAATTGTAAAATTTCGCCGTAAACTATATTACAAAGTACTCATATACTCAAAGCACAAACGTAAAATATATTCTTCGTTCTGTAATTCATCCGTATCGTCGTTCACTTTGTCATTTTCTTCAAAAGTCAGCCACACTTCTATTCCATTTTCTAAGTAATTCCGACTCAAGTGCATGAAATAACTCTTTTTTACAGTATAAATAGAGCAATTCTTATCTATTTCAATTAGATGGTGTTTGTTTTTGATGCTGACATCATTTTGTTGTGTAAAATCTTTAAAACGTGTTTTTAATCTGAGCATTTGCCAGTGCTTTGAAATAAGGATTCCATTGAATTTCATTAAACTGAGCTTATTCCGATGATACACAGATGCCGAACGGACTAAGCCAAAGTAAACTAATTTTCTCATATTTTAACATCATTTATAAAAGTGGCATATTGCAACTACTTGAATAATAATAAAACTTACAATTTAGTGTGTGTATCATTCTATAATTACAAAATTACGCCATGGGAGAAAATAAAAGTGCTGTTATCTGTTCAATGGTTTGTTTTTCTCATTTTGTGTACACATACACAGAAAATGACAGCTCGGTTGATGAAATATTTGGGAACCGTTTTTTTTTTCTGTTGAGCACGACTGGCAAAAATCCATTTTTTCTAATGTTGCGGTAGATATATTAGCATTTATGTGCCTTGCAAATTGAGAGTGTGTAAATGTTTCACACCGGTTTTGTTATTTTCACCGTAGTTTCAGTGAGTATATATATTTACACTGTTGTAAAACTTCATTAATATCGCTGCAAAATGTCAGACGAAAGAAAATGTGTGCAGTATGGCGACTGTGTGCGATGCCAAAATGCGAATAAATTGCATATAAACTGTTGTAAATTATGGCATTCATTCGGTAAATGATATCTAAGTAGACGGTTTTGAATAGTTGCGATGAGCGAATACATATAAAACATGATATCATTTCTCGGTCTGTGATTGCATACACGAGACAATCAAGCATTGCGGTATGCAATTCGAGGTGGCTGCTGCAATGCTGCGATTCGATCACATTTCTCAAGTTGCGTTCGGCTTACCAGTTTTCACATCATTTTACTTTCTAACTTTGTTTCCCCTCCCGTCTGGCGCTCTCATCATTGCGAAAGGGCGTCCAACCAATTTTTGTTACATTTTATGAAAACCACATTTTTCTCGCGTACATTTTAAGCCCAATATATAAAACAAATATTGATGTCGAAATGTGGACAGTTAAATCGTAAAAAGCCATTACAATTTTGGCTGCCACAATTTTGAAAATAGTTTTACACGAGTCTCGTGAGAGATCGAAATACAATTCTCGGCGCTCTAGCCACACTGTATTTAGTATTATCGTGAAAACAATGTCAGCAGCTGGCAAACATGTCATTTTGGTTTCGATGCCATACATTTCGCAATTGATTCATTTCACTTAGCTCGAAAATGGGGATATGCTCGAATGCTTTTGACCCAATGTCAATATAGAAACTATTTTTACAACACTGATTTACCCAGCATTAAGCCCGAACACCAAATTTACGAGAAAATGAAATTTTACGAACTTCAACTTATTTTCGAATTTATTTCGCGGAAAACAAAATATATGCCGAACACTTTAAAAGCAAAACACAGTCGAAATGTGGTAAATATTTCAAAAAAATATTACCGAAATATAGTGGCAAAAATATGAGAAGAATGAAGCCATGATAAAAAAAAATCATATAGTTATTGAATGTGCGCATCTAGAATAGAAACGGCACCGGTGC